ACCAATTAGGCTGCAGGTTGGTTTGGATTTTCCCCTATTTATATGCATACATTAAGTTAGCTTTAAGTTTATATTGCGCCTCCTGGACTGTAAGGGCTTTTGCTCGATACATCTAATGTAGAAGTCGAAATGCAATCTGGCTGATTTCTTCTCTGCTGCACGATGCATGGTATGATTTTTTAATAGCTGAATCTGTGACTTACTATTTCGAGGAAGTTCTTGCGTTGATGAAAATTTGAAATTCTAGGAGGTTGACCTGCATTTATGTTGGGCCATTCTACAAATTCTAGGAGGTTGACCTGAATATTTGTAATTGATCACAAACTTTCGAGCTGATTGCATGCTCTTTGAAGTATGGCGTATCTTTTGAATCTTCTTCCAGTGTCTTCCGTTTAGCTATCTGCATTTTTTAGGATGATTGGAAACACATGCATATCGGTTGGCCTTGGTAGTTGTGGTTCTTTGTGTTGTGATATAAATATCTAACATGCCAATAAGTACAATTGTGTGGAGGCTGGCATGAAGGTTGTACATGTTTTAATCACTTGCTTTGCTGCTGTAATTTCAGAACCTCTTCTCTTTACATGTTTATGTAAAGACATTATCTGATGATTTCCCTCTTTCAGGTTCAATATCGAATGCACCCGGCTCTTTCAGAGTTCCCATCTAACAGCTTTTATGAAGGCACCCTGCAAAATGGGGTTACTGTAAATGAGAGGCAAACAACAGGCATTGATTTCCCCTGGCCTGTGCCTAATCGTCCCATGTTCTTTTATGTCCAGGTACATAGCTCTATAGTAATACGATTATGTTGATTTGCTGTTTACTGACATGAAAACAATAATTGATCTTTCTAAAAAAACCTTTGGAAATCACTTCGATTGTTGTACCAATGATTTCCTCATTTTTATGCTTTTCTGTATTTTATTCCAAAGTTGTGTTTGTAACTAGATTGCTCTTCTTTAGATGGGGCAAGAGGAGATAAGTGCTAGTGGAACCTCCTACCTGAATCGTACAGAGGCTGCAAATGTTGAGAAGATCGTAACTACTTTCTTGAGAAGTGGTGTAATCCCTAGTCAGGTGGCTGCTTTCTCTGAATCTTGTCGTTGATTTTGTACTCTGTGGTACTGTATTCTGATAGTTTTTTTTTTAGATTGGGGTGATAACACCATATGAAGGCCAGAGGGCATATATTGTGAACTATATGTCCAGAAATGGTGCTCTTAGGCAGCAGCTTTACAAGGAAATTGAGGTAGGATTCAGGTTTCAGATTTCCGATATGGTAGTTTTTCTTGAAGTTACTCCCATAAATTTAAGCGATGTTTCTACAGGTTGCTAGTGTTGATTCATTTCAAGGCAGGGAAAAGGATTATATAATTTTGTCTTGCGTTAGGAGCAATGAACACCAGGTTGGTTTGTTTAGCCCAGTGTTGCTCTCACTCATTCGCATACATGTTCTTTTAATTGTCTTGAAATAAGAAAGTGGTGCGCTTCCATTTAATGGATCATCTCCTTGTATGTTTTCAGGGTATTGGGTTTCTTAATGATCCTAGGAGGCTTAATGTAGCTCTTACTCGTGCACGATACGGCATTGTGATACTGGGCAACCCAAAAGTCCTTAGCAAACAGCCGTTGTGGAATGGTTTGTTGACACACTACAAGGTATTTTTTCTGCTAACCTGTAGTGTTAGGCTTGGATATTATCAGTAGTTGTTACTGTGATGTATAATATTATTTGTTGCTATCTATGTTGTTGTACCAACTCATAGCCGTTTATTCTCCATGTGTCCCATCAGGAACATGAATGTTTGGTTGAGGGACCTCTTAATAACCTGAAGCAGAGTATGGTTCAGTTTCAGAAACCTAAAAAGGTGTGCTAGACTGGAATTTTATCATTAGTTAGCTGTTTGTTATCAGCGAGGAATCCATTTGTATATATATTCTGTTTTAATTAATTGTTATTCTTCTGTTTTTTACATTGTAAACAGATATATAACGACAGAAGACTTTTCTTTGGAGCTGGACCTGGAGTGTTGCCCAATGATGGTCTGGGATCTGGTGTATCAAGTGTTCCAAATGCTGACAGAAGAAGCGGGCGTGCCAGAGGTATTCTTCGTGAATTGATTCACTTTATAGAAATTATAGACTTCCATGTTAGGATTACCGGTTTATTCTAATGAGGTGGGGCATATTGAGACGCGACAAATGGCTTCAGTTGTAGGTTGGGTTTTTGGGCTAGAATAAGTTTGTGGGTTCATGGGATGGATTTAAATGTAGAACTCATTATTCCGCTACAAAATTGTACGCTGACTCCATATTTTGTGAACATCTGGAAAGTTAGGTACTAAAGTTTATGACACAATTTTGGGTACTGAATGGTAATATGACAGAAACCCATCAACCTACCAATTCCATGGGTTGGGGTGGATGTATTTAAGTTGGCTGGTTTATGCCACCTAATTGTGACTGTTCCCATAGCTTTAGCGCTGCTTTTCCTTTGCTGGTGAATTCTAGCAAACATCCCCTGTTTCTGATCCTGACTCCTATAACCCCTTACACTTGCTGGTTCACACATGTCAGGTGGGCCATCTAATGGTGCTCACAAGCCTGGTGTGCATCCAAATGGATTTCCTATGCCACGAGTCCCCATGCCAACATTCCATGGCCCGCCGCCTCCGCAACCATATGCGATCCCATCACGTGGTGCTGTGCACGGACCTGTTGGAGCTGTTCCTCATGTACCTGCACCAGGAAGTCGTGGTTTTGGGGCTGGGCGTGGAAGTACCACTGCTCCTATTGGTAGTCATCTTGCACACCAGACCAATCAGCAGGCAGTTGGGAATATTGGACCGAACTTTAACTTCCCATGTTTGGAGAATCCCAACAGCCAGCCTTCTGTTGGTGGCCCATTATCTCAACCTGGATTTGTGAACAATGTATGTTATGTTGTCAATGCCCCTTTTTCATGGCCTTTTCAGCTTTCTGCATGGTACTTATTATTAATTGTTGGAGTGTTAATACATTACAGATGCCAGTTCAAGGGGCAAGCCAGTCGTTTCGTGATGGTTTTTCAATGAGTGGAATGTCTCAGGTATGTTTAATGTTCCTTTTTAGCACTGCTTTTCTTATTTCACAGCTGTAATCCTCTATTCGGCATTCATCAGGATTTCTTAGGTGACGACTTTAAAAGCCAGGGATCACATGTGCCTTACAATGTTACAGACTTCTCCACCCAGGTAATTTTTTTTTTTTTTGACAATTCCACCCAGGTACCTGCGGCACGTTATGAGCTGTTGCATTGTTTGTGATGTTGTATATAGTCTTGTGGTTTCTGCAAGCTTATCAGATGAAATGCTTGTTTGTTTGTAGGCTTCCCAAAGTGGGTATGCTGTTGATTATGTTACACAAGGAGGACAAGCTGGATATCCTGGCAATTTTCTGAATCAGAATTCACAAGCTGGATATTCTCGTTTTGGTTCTGGAAATGACTTCATGTCTCAGGTTTTTCGTCCTTCTGCAATATCAGCTCTCTTTAGTTTTATTTTATGCCGACTTTTTTCCTGACAATATTTGGATGTTAACAGGACTACATGGGTCATGCAACACAAGGGCTGTTCACTCAGGTCGCCATGAATGATCCCTCGCAGGATGAAGCGTCACAAAGCCATTTCAATATGGCTAATCCAAATTCACTTCAGTCTCAGGTTCATAACTCTGCTGCTCCGGAAACATATGTGATGTTGCATATAACTCATGCACGTACCTTGAGCGTTTAAATCATGAAGCGCATATTAGCATGTATATTAATGAATTAAATTGGTTGCTTGACTTCTGATAGTGTTCTTATCTACTTCAAAGTTATTTTTTTTTTACCTGGCTTTCAAATGTGGTAATATTGTTTAAATTGCTTATGGTACTTATGTGTACTGTATTTTGCTAAAGTTAGTTCCTTGACCTATGCAGGGTTATATGAACTCGCTCTACTCCCAGCCCTTCGGCCACTACAACACTCAGCCACCCAATTTACAGGCACCACAACAACAACAGCAGCCTCATCTGGGGCAGGGGTCCCAGAACCAGAAAATTCACTACAACGGTTGAGAGAGGTCAGAAAAGCAGTGATTTTTGTTGGCTGTGATGGGTTCTATAGTCTTTGCAATCCACCAACTTGGTTCGTGCTGCCGTGTTTGCCCCCTCCTATTATAATCCTGCCCAGAGGCGCAAGATGTTTGCCGGTTCGTCATGGTCAGTCGAAAAGCCCAAGAGATGATGAGAATAAGTTGTAGTAAGAAGGATGGTCTGGCACAGCTTGGGCTAATGGGGCTATACAAAGCAGACAGGGTCGGCACATCCAAGGCGCGAATGGTCGATTGGAAAGATGAGATATAACCCCTTTCGTCGGCCTGCATGGAAAGAGTAATGTTTAGGAGTTTATCCATCTAAGGGAGCATTACAAGGGCATGGATTTGTTCGGAAGGGTTTGGCTGGACATACTTTGATTGCAAAATGGAACTAGTAAACTACAATACACAGGAAATCTCGAGGACACAGGAGAGGAGCTGAAGAAAATATTCTTACATATGCACTTAGCAGAAATGCGAAAGGCGGTCTGTGTACAGAATGACTAGAGAAGTTTGATCACGTCAACCCTTTTGGCATATCCTGACATGTAATTAGACTCTTTACTCTTTAGCATACACTATAAGTCGCCTGGGAAGATTGAGATATGATTGTTTTCTTACCATCGACGCAGTTCTGGTGTAAGTTTTTGATGGTAGATCTTGGCATTTGGTTTGAGTACCACTGTTTCCCGTATGGCAAAATACACTTGTATAGCTATAACTTTAATGTTTATGTCAATTATAGCCACTTTTGAAAAAAATATACAAAATAGCCATTTCCGTCTAATTCTTTAACGGTGTCATCTGACAGACTGGCTGGATTAACGGAATAGCTGACCTGTCGATATTTTATAAATAAAATTATGACGTGGAATTTACTGAAAAATAAAAATAAAATTTTATTTATTTATGTTCTCTGTCCCCTTTCTATTTTCCCCCCTTCCATTCCCCAGCACCCACTACTATTCGACAAATCCTCCGACGACCAAAGCTGTCTCCGATCCGCCTCTGATAGTCATCAATCGGCAGTCAAAATCCATCTTAATCACCTAGGAGAAACCCAACCCACAGATGATTCCCATCGCCTCTAACTCTGCCCCTGTTCGTCGCAGCGACGTACTGGCTGAGGGCGAGAGCCAGCAAGCGAATCGAGATGCCCTTATTCCTAGCCCTAACACCACAAGTGGATGGATTTGGGTGTGGCATAGATTGGGAAAGGAGATGGAGATGGTGACTGTGAGAGGAGGCGGCGCTTCCGAGTGGCGGTACAGATTTGGGTTTTGAGATTCAATCGTATTCTCTCTTGGGTTTCTAGATTTTAGTGGGAAAGGTATGGTTCTTTGTGGGGGAAAAAAGCATAGGACATTCTATTGGAGGAGAGAATGGGTGCCGGATCTTAATCATGCACCTCCCGTGGATGAGTCGGTTCTTGATGGGTTATTTGGTTTCTCTGTTATCCCGATTGAGTACAGAGTCGGGTTTTCACCCATTGCCTGTCGGCGGCGCTGCTGTCAAGAGGCGGGGCATTTGTTGATTACTCTGCGGAATTGGTTGTTGGGGACGTTGCGGTCCTTGGAGAGGAAGGAGAAGACATGGGAGAGGCTGGTGGGATGTGGGAGGTTAGTTTGATGGGAAGGGTTCCGGCGATGGATTGGTAGCTGCGGGGAAGGTGAGGAGGAGAATTCCAGGAGCATGGATTTTTTTTCCGCATTTTTTGTTTGTTTGTTAGGTTTTTAGATGATTGACGTGGAATCTATGTGGCAAGTTTGGCCTAGTTGTTGCTGACGTGTGCGTTGAGGTGACATCCTAGTCAGCGTAATGTTAATCTAACTGACGGGATTTTTAACATCGTTAAAGTTTGTAACAGAAATTGCTATATTTGTCATGCAAAATTCAAAATTCTGGCTATTTTTGGTATTTCTCGAAAAGTGGCTATTTTTGTCACAAACGCGAAAGTTTTGGCTATGCAGATGCATTTTGCTTATGATTTTTGTGGTTTGAGCCCCACTGTTTCCCTATTTGAAGAGAGGAAGGACGGAGAATTGTACCATCAGAGATCAGGGGCGGATACATGGGCCTCTAGGGGTGTCCCGGGACACCCCTAAAATTTGGGGAAACGATTATCCAACCTCCGGTAGTAGTTTCGTATGGGTATACAAAATATAATAGGTAATCCGGGACACCCTAACATTTGAAAAAATGATTATCCTACCCTCGATAATAGTTTGCTTATGATTAACAAAATACAAGTGGTAGTCCGTGTTATTCCAAGTTAGGACACTACTATTATCAAACATATTCTAATTATGTTGCTACTCATTTGTTATTCTATTTTAAACATCATGCAACAGTAAAACGCTATTTCTTTATCCCCAACTATTTTCAATACCTAATAATTAAACTACGTACACGCTACCCTTAATTTTGAATTGATTTTAAGGTTACACGGCAAGTTTTGAAAGAGTCTTTTCTACTTTGAGCTACATTAAGAACAAGGTTAGAAATCGAATATGTGATAAGTTCGTGAAGTATTGTCTAGTAGGATATGTAGATTTTTTTGAACGGTGCAGACACGGAGTTTATTTATATTTTTTTTCAAAATATGAATTTTAATTTATTATTTAATAAAAAATTTATACAAATTATACAAGTATGATATTTTTAATATACGAATTATTTAATTTATTATGTAATTAAATTTAATTTTTGAAGAGGACACCCCTATAAAAATTTTCTGAATCCGCCACTATCAGAGATTGCTTAGAGAAGAATGTCTGAATTGGGTGGCTAGGCATATGTATTGGTTTATCTACGGGTCGTTTGGGGTGTCCAATGGTTTGTTTTTTATTGTTTCGGATCAAATTGATGTTTGAATTGGAACATCCCGAACTGAATATGATGCACTCTGGTCTAGGTCTTGTTATTTTGCAAATGGACCTTTGGATGTACCAAACTATTAAATTGGATAAAAAATGATGGTCCAGTCCTTATCCGAAGATGCGTTTCCCCAATTGAGTCACGGTGATGAGATAGGCCCGGACAATTGCACGCTCCAGACCATTGAATGAAATTTGATTTCAAGGTGTATAATTTGGTCATAAAATGTGGTAATTGAAAACACATGGGCTTGGTTTGGAGCACTTCTACTATACTATATACTATAGTATTGGTGCTTTAATGTACAACTTAAAGTTGTACCATAACATTAAATGTATAAGTTTAGGTTGTACCATAAAACAATTTGTACCATTATGTTATGGTACAACTTTACAACTTGAAGTTGTACCATCACATCATTGTACAAGTTCAAGTTGTACCATAAAAGAATTTGTACAAAAAGTATAGGTACAATATGAAGTTGTACCATAACGTAAATGTACAATTTTAAGTTGTACCATAAAGGCAAAATCCTATAGCACCAATACTATATAGCATTGTGGGGTCGTTTGGATTGAGTATTTGACAAACTTGTTGTTTGGGGCCAATTACCACACAAATACCACATAATATAAAACTTGTTATTTGGTATGTGATACTTGGTCTCAAACTTGTTATTTGGCAAATACCTGCCCCCTCCCAAGTATTTGGCAAACAACACTTTTTGTGTTATTTGGTCTCAAACCTGTTATTTGACAAAACACTACATCCAAATAACACATCCCACTTTTTGTCAGCCAAACATGTTATTTGGGGTTAAATAACAGATTTTGTGTTATTTGACCTCAAATAACACCCCCAAATACTCAATCCAAACGACCCCTGTAAAATTTCTCCTTAGGTTTGGGGTTTTCATTTGTCACAACTCACAAACGTGGTTTGTTTTATAGAGATGCTACTAGAGGGGTGGGGAGGGGTGAAAATAAGCATCGTCCTAATATTTGAATTTGGATCTTCAGGCAGAAAACAAGCAGTATAATCACTCACATAAAACATGTGGGCATTTGAAAATTATCATAATTCATAGGGCAATTTTAATATTGGATGAGCTGAATGCATATTTTTCGTTTTTATTTGGACTTGTACTCACATAAAACATATTTTGTGGTAATTCTGATTATATTTCATGTGTATGCATTTTAGAGGAAACTCATTTACATTCTACAAGTTAAGAGCAAGGTAATTTTCATTTTTATGCCTTCTTCGAATGAAGGAATCTTAAATTTGATGAACGCTGAAGTGATTTGAATTTAAATCGAGGGAACCATTGATATAATGTTCTTCAATGTTTTATGAAAGGGAATTATGTTAGTTTTGTTTTTTCTAGCAATAAATTAAAAAAAGGTTATTCAAGGAGACAATTGAGATTAAGAAATTCCACCAATTGAGTTTTTTAAATCATGTGCATTACCAATTAAAATTTAAATCTTGTTGTTGAATATGTTAAATTCCTTGACTTGGTCAAATTTAAAATAATTTTACCCCTCGATTCTTTCATTAAAGGACTCGTGATAACCTATGGACTCTGAATGAAGTTTTGATTAACTCAAAATGCATGGCCTCGTGGATAATGTTCACCACATTATTAGTTTGAATCTTGACATCAAGCCAACATAAATTTTATTGATTGGTGTGACACCTTGGGTAGAAGGAATTGGATTCTTGGCGAATTCTGAATAGGAAACTGGAATTGAAGAGAAGAGGAGAAGGGTTTGAGAAGAGAGTTGGGAATTGGAGAAGAAAATAAGAGGAGAAAGAACAGAGACAGAGGATAGAGATGAGGGAGAGAGCAGAAGATAGATTGGGAAATGTGTTTCTGTTATTACTTGCCTTCTACAGTACAACAAAACAGCCTTTTATAGCTGTTACAAATATCTAAAGTAGTCCTTGTGTTTATACTGTTTACAAGTAGCTCCTCCCAGACATTGGGTCATTACAACTCCCAACCCCTTGAGAACAGTCTTGTCCCCAAATCTGTAATCAATGAAAACCAACATACAAGGTAACAATGAATGGACTCAAACAAAGGAAATGAACTGAATCTGTAACAAAAAGGTAATGACATGAACACCAAACACTTCTTCAACTGAACTTGGTAAGGGCTGCAATCTGTGATGTCTCCTTTGGTGCAAGGATGAAATGCTGCATCATGACGAACAAGCAACTCTTCTTAGCCACACAGCTATCAACAGCCCCTAGAAGCAGGCACTCCACCATAACAATTGTTCTGGAATTACCAATGACCCAAGTAACAATACAGTCCTTATAGGGCTCTTTGAAGCCAGGACGTCTTCCCCTGCCCAGAGAAGTAACAACCATAACAACAATTCCAGGAACAGAACTCAGAGGTGTTGCATACTTCCATCCAACTCCTATTACAACAATTACAACCCACTCAATTCGCGTTTCATCGTCCTTGTATGGTTCTTCGAAATTAGGACAGCTGCCCCTACCACGAGCTTACACAAGGACCATAGTAAGTGGGATAAACTTTATATCCATAATGCCTGCGCACGTTACCCGTCACTGAAACTCCAATAGGAGAGTCCCAATGTGGTTTCGTAACCACCCTAAATGTTGTGCTATCATCACTCATGAAGGCTTGATTCAATTCCACTCCCCAAAACTGAGTTCTTGTAGTGATTACTTCCATTGCCTGAGGGTAGTAGTCACTAACAGTCTATCCCTCACCAAGAAGGCTGGATGAAGAAGAGGTTCAAACTCTAGAATGGATACCACAGGAACGGTCGCAGAGACGTGATGCCCAGCTGCAAGGTACCAATTGGGGCTAGCCGACCCAGAAGGAAGAGATGAACCTAAATGAGATTGTACTGGAACTGATTTGGTTCAATATTTCAGTAGGCTTTTCCCCCGATAAAGCAGAGCGAGAACACGAAATGCTCAATTCACAAACATTCTCAACACTCACAGTTTGGAAAGCAGAAATCCCACTCAAGCCATTTTCCATGTTCTTACCCTTGTTTGGTTCCTTGACTACACCAGGAACCACCTCTTCCTCTTGACAAGGTGCTGGTGAATTAGAGAATTTCCCCTCAGCTATACTTGGACCCACCTTTTCCTCATCATAGTGAGAACAAAAACTTCCCAAATCACAGCCATTGTCAACGAGCAAATCACACTTATCATATTCATCATTACCAATACCATATATGAAATTCTCATTTGTCTTCAACAACTTGAATACAGTTGAGTCACCATTTTCAGCCTTGTCTTCTGTGATTGGAACATGTGTAGTCAATACATCACCATCTGCACTCCTCAAACTCATTTCCAATTGAGCTTGCTGATAAGCTTCAGCTAATGTTTGGGGCTGCAACACGGATACTTCCACGTTTTGTTGGGTATTCAAAGTCCTGGAAATGATGTTGCCGCACTACCAGTCAATCCAATGCAGGCTGCTTTTGTGTTGTTGGAACAGGGCAGAAGCTTGTTGTTTAGCATTCCACAGAGTCATTTCATTGAGTTCCCAAATTGTAGTGACTTGCTTAGCCAATTACATTGCTCTAACCATTTCCTTGTTTTAGTTCCTGCATTTGTTTTTCAGACTTGAGGACAAGTCTGTCCTCAAGGGGTTGGGATTGTAATGGTTAGGAGTGAATGGTAAAATGTATTAATAGTTTGGGGACTTCTTTGTAATTGAGCAAGTCATATAAATAGGGGAGTTGTGTACTGAAAGGGTTATCGAATAATAATTTACAGAAACTCTTCTCAAACTGATCTTTCCCACTCCTTCCTCTGCAAGACTGCAACCTCTCTTCTATTTTCTCTCTTCTCTATCCTATTTCCCCTTCTTCTTCCTTAATCCTTTCCTTCTCTTATAATCCTCAATTCCTTCCTCAGTTCAACCATTTCCACCTATAATCGCCGTAATAGATCCCTCCACCGACCTCGAGTTACAACTGGTTGTATCGTCATAGTCAGAACTCTGATACCCGCATTTCAGATGCCCAACTCTTCGGATTTTGTTGTTGTTGTTGTTGTTATATAATAAAAAGGGTTAATACCTTAGTTTGGCCCAAAGTTTGGCGGAAGTGTCAGTTTTGGCTCAATTTTTTCAATAAGACATTTATGGCCTACTTTTGAAATTATTGGACAAATTTGGCCCATAATTTTCTTTGACCGTCAATATTGACGGTCAAACACTATTCCGTTAGTGACTCAGCAAAAAATGGCTGATGTGGCATGCACGTCAAATAATAATAATTTATTTTTTAATTCAATTAAAATAAAAAATCCCATCCCTACTGCCTCCTCCTTCGTCAATCAAAGTGTTGAATTTCTTCCGCCTCCTCCTTCTTCAATCGCCTCCTTGATGTCCGCCACCCACGATGTCCCGGTCTCCGTCTTGAAGTTGAACGACCCCGATTTCCCCAACTTGTAGGGGTACTGGACCGGCTTCGAGATCGCCCATCTACTCGGCTGACCCGCGAGTTTTCTCCTCTTGTAAAAACAGAGCAGCCAGGTCGCGGCAGAGGATAGGAGGACGAGAGCTAGTGCTGATGAAGCGGCGACGATGATTACCTCTCGACGCTTCCTCGATTTCCATATGGTTTCCTTCTTGTGGGAGGGCTTCGGGTTTTTGAATCTTGTGTGGCGTGGATTGGGTTCGATTTTGGTGATGGTGGTTGGTTAGGGTTTGGGTTTGATTGGTGTTGGAGTCGAGGTTTTTAGGGATAATCGGAGTTTTTGAGGAATTGCAAAAGAGACAACTTCCGTCATTGATGAAAGCATATTTCCCGAAAGCATACCTCCGCCGTTGATGTCGTCGGAGATCCTACAGCCGGAACACGAGACTACTTCCGCCATTGATGTCGCTGTAGATCCCACAGTCGGACATGTTGAGAACCTGTAGCTTGGACAAGTTTGCTAATCCGAGAGGCAAGTACCCTATCGCATTGCGAGAGAGGTCGAGGGTTTCGACTTTCGAGATTGGGGAAACCGGAGAGCTTGACCGAGTTGGTGAACATGTTGCTGGAGAAATTCAGCACTATGATTGACGAAGGAGGAGGCGGAAGAGAGGGGATTTTTTTAATTTTTGATTTTAATTAAATTAAAAAAATAAATTAATATTATTTATTGACGTGGCATGCCACATCAGTCGTTTTTGCTTAGTCACTAACGGAATAGTGTTTGACCATTAATTAACAGTCAAAGAAAATTATGGGCCAAATTTGTCTAATAATTTCAAAAGTAGGCCATAAATGTCTTATTGGAAAAATCGGGTCAAAATTGACACTTATGTCAAACTTCGGGCCAAACAAGGGTATTAACCCTAATAAAAAAGGTGTCATTGGCAACAACCCCTACCAACAAATAACTATGGGGTCGTTTGGATGGGTTAATTGTCAATGTGGTATTTGTAGAGTCAAATAACTCATTTATTATTCATGTGATATTTCAGTGTTATTTCAATGGTAATTGAAATAAAGTATCTCGTTTGGTTGAACCATGCAAATGTGGTATTTGACATGTGGTATTTGGTAAAAGCAGAGTGATAAAACGAGTTATTTCAAATAACTCGTGTTGAGTAATTTGTAAATAACTCACTGTCCAAATAACTCATTTCAGTAAAACGTTACCAAACGAGTTATTTGTGCCCAAATAACTCAATGTGAGTTATTTGAACCCAAATAACCCATACAAATACTCTATCCAAACGACCCCTATATATAATCACTGCCAGAACAGAATGTTAATTCCAAACCCTAGATTTAGATCTGTTCAAGCCTGTAAGTTCCAAAAACTCAGTAACACCTGCTCATTTACCAGCAGACTACTAGCTTCCGACTTGATTGATTTCTCAGTACAAGATAGCCCCCTTGCTTCACTTTCAAAGATTCTTCTACATCTTGACCTCCCAAGCCAAAGTGCCTTAGCATAGCACACCAAATCATCTAATGTATCAACAAAAGGGGAAGACATTTTGAACACCCCTATTCACAACCCATTCCAGCTCTACTCTCCAGCGTTACATATTAATTTCTCTTCTAAACACGTCCTCGTTCAAGTCGGTTGGATGCTCATACTATAAAGCGCAAATACGCCCTCCTCCACGTCCCGTCACCAACTTGGAAACCTCTAGCCCCTGACTCACCAACTCGTTCAAGCACTCCACTGTCCAAGTCCTCACCTGAGTCCTTCCATCTCCCCGGCTCCCTAATATCGCCTTCAAAGTCCATGCCAGCTTGGCCATCTCCTCCACATCATACAACATGTCACTCACCAAAACCAAGTCAAACTCGGGGCTAAGATTAGGTGACTAGGGGGGTCCCTTAGTCACATGACTAAATGAATCTCGGTCCTTCCACCTCATTAAAATCTAATGGCCACAATTAATCTAATTTAATGAAAGAAAAAACAATAATAACATGATTATTTTTATTTTCAATTATTGAATAATTTTTTCATCGAGCTCTTCCCCACACCTCCATTTCGTCTCTTCTTTTTTCCCGTCGCCGGCGTCTGTCTCGTCTCTTTTCCGTCGCCGACCAGGGAATTTATCCCACTCTCAGTTAAGGGAGGGAATATAATTTCCACTTTTATCCTTTTCCCCGGGTGCAACGAGAGAGAGAGAGAGAGAGAGAGAGAGAGAGAGAGAGAGAGAGAGAGAGAGAGAGAGAGAGAGATTCTCGATGACGATGGAGGAGACTCTTTCGGTGACCAGAGACGGCAGACGATAATTTTTCGGCGAGCGGAGACGATAAGCGATAATTTTCCGGCGACATTGTAGGATTTGTGATGTTGTCGACCTATTTTGTAATGTTTATACGTCTGGTTTGTAATGTTTGTATCGATTCGGTTTGTATCGTTTGTCATTCTAGTTTTATATGTTTATATGATTAATTTATATATATTATAATTTGTACTGTTTGTTTATCTAGTTTGTATACTTTATGTTATTATTTGTATACTTTGTTGTTTTATAATACAAGTTTATTGTTTTGTATTGTAAGTAGTGCCATTTTGTACTCTTAGTATGTTTTGTACTGTTTGTCAATTTGTTTTGTGATGTATTGTAAATTTTGTTATTTTTGTAATGTTTGTTGGTTTATTTTGTAGTGTTTGTAAGCTTTGTTATTTTTGTCCATCATGTTTGTCATTTTTGTCAACTATGTTTGTAATGTCTTTTATGTCTAAAAAACAATCTGGTTGACTTTTGGACATAACCCTTCTATATAGGGATGAACCCTCCAAAGTCAACCCGGGAGTTTTTCCAGTTTGTATGTTTTGTCGGTCTAATTTGTCATTTTTTCCCACTATGTTCGTAATGTTTGTATGTCTAAAAAACAATCGGGTTGACTTTAGGAGGGAGGAGAGGGGGGACGTCGGTGTGGATGACACGTGTAGCACCCAGCAACGCTGATGTCATTCCAGGAAGCCCTATGCTACCTGTTATTTTAATAATAAATTATATAAAGGGCGCATATTGGGTTTTTATCTAACGCCTAACTTGTTTATACATTATTTTAGTATGTTGTAAGAAAAGAAAGTTGTTAGTATGAAATGATGAATGAAATAGCTGTTTTGTAGCTTCTAATTTATAAGGGTACATGGGAATTTTTTATATATTGAAACTTGTATTCAACTTTTATTCATGAGTAGAAAAAGAAATAACATCATTGCAAACAAGTTGACGTACAATGTTTAGCGGAGGTCTATCAAACTATACTTTCGCAGAATCCCATCTTGTTCTCGTATGTGCCATAATGTGGGGGAATCAAAACTCAGATTTGAAAGGATTCCCCCTCTATGTATTAGGTTGACCAGACTGTTTCAATTAATTTGTTGTCCAATATATATTTGGGTTAATAGCATTTTGCATCACTCTACTATCATAAATTAACAAACAAACCCCTATAAAGTTATGTGAAGTTACCGTTAACTAGGATGAAAAATGACTAAATTATCCCTGACTAAAACAAAATAATAATCTAATTTCATTGGGTGCAGGGAAAAATCCATAAATCTTTCACCCAAAAAATCCCTAATATAGTCTCGTACTCTCTTCACAACTGGGTGCACCCGTCAACCTTCCCACCAGTACGACGGTCACCTTCCCACCTAGTTTGGCGGTCACTCTTCACCTTTGCCGTCCACTAACTCCTCCTCCGGGGCAACCTACTGGCCCGCTACTACTCCTTCTGTGCCAAGCTGATCTTCATCCACGAACTCCACCGACACCCACCTAATCACAAAGTGGAATTTGACCTGGCACGTGGAGCATAACTTTGGTGTTCGCGACGGAGGAGTGGTCGAACTCGGTCTCTGTTCAGAAGGAGGGAGAAGTTGGTTGTCATGTACTTTAATTATTTTTATTTAATTACGTGTCTCTGCTGTTAATTAGAATTAGGATGAAGTGTTATGGGTTGTTAGACGTGAGAGAGTGGGTTAGTTGCTAGCTAGGATTACGGAGCGATGTCCTATAATATTGGAATAATTGTTGTTAGATCTTTTATGTTGGATTGGAGGGATTTAGGATTAGTTCTCTATTTAAGGTAGCGGATGGATAGATGAGGAATTGAGTATAATCAGAAAGGATTTTACACACCCACGCGTTAATTTGGGAGGTTGGCTTTCCTCGAAAAAGTTTAGAGGTTCCGTTCTCGTCATTAAGGAGAACACTTCTCTTATTCCAATCTATCTATCTTTCCTCCATTCTCTTCTTCCTATTCCGATCTTTCTCCCTAAATCTTAGTCTAGAAAACGTGCACGTAACATTTGGTATCAGAGCCGACTGATCCTACGATAATGGAGACTCCGACGGTCCGAACCAAAGCGTTGCTTTAACAAGAGGTGCAAGGGATCACAATCTTCAGACAGGAGATGCGGGAGAGTTTTGTTGCTCTCATTGCAAGATTCGATCTATTTCTCGGCCAACGGCAGATGGCGAAGGGCGAAGGGTTGAAGGTCGAGCATGCCAATGTTCGAGCTCCACCAAGCCCTCCAATGACGTCAATGGAGCAACCTGCGCCACCAGTGACAGCCGCGGTGCAACCGGCGAGCGGGCAGCAACTCCCCGTTGAAGAGCCGTTACCAACTCTTGTCTATGCTCCCGTCAAAATCATGAACACCGAGCCAACAATTCCATCATTCTTCATCGTCCCCATCCTGAACGCGATTGTAGAGACGCCAGATAACCTAGCATCATAGGGCATTGTTAATAGCCTCGTTGGAGAGTAGATGTCAGCGCCGCCATTAAACACCAAAACCGCTTCACTTTCTCCAAGTTTTTTCATCAAGCAACATCATAAGGAGAAGAGGCAATTTTTGGTTGTTAGTTGTCGGCCACTACAAATACATGGGTGCATTCTCCCATCGTGTATCAATAGTGTGGAAGGAGATGTCGATCCCAATTGGAAGTTTAGAAAAAAAAAACAACCACAATGGAAGGGGGACCGGCGACAACGACTTAGCGGCGACGCATACTCGCCGTTATTAAGTGTCGGTTGATTCTTGTGAGCAAGAATCATTTCAAGGGGGATGGAATTTCATGTGCTTTAATTATTTTTATTTAATTAAGTGTCTCTACTGTTAATTAGAATTACGATTAAGTGTTATGGGTTGTTAGACGAGAGAGAGTGGGTTAGTTGCTAGCTAGGATTAAGGACCCATGTCCTATAATTTAGGAATAATTGTTGTTAGATCTTTTACTTTGGATTGGAGGGATTTAGGATTAGTTCTCTATTTAAGGTAGCGGATGGATAGATGAAAGGAGAGGAATTGAGTATAATCCGAAAAGGATTTTACACACCTACGTGTTAAAGTGGGAGGTTGGCTTTCCTCGAAAAAGTTTAGGGGTTCTGTTCTCGCCATTAAGGAGAACACTTCTCTTCTTCCAATCTATCTATCTTTCCTCCATTCTCTTCTTCCTATTCCGATCTTTCTCCCTAAATCGTAGTCTACAAAACGTGCTCGTAACATTGGTGCAGGAGTACAAGGATTCTTCGACGATCGCTGAAGAGGAGACTTTTGCTTGCTTTGCCGGCTACAGCTTTGGCAAGGTTTGGGAGAAGTAATTAAAAGGGATTGGGTCTCGACAGGTGAATGGTCAGGGATGGAAATGAAATTAAATTAGGGATTCTTTTTTCATAAGGGATGATTTGAACGGCTGCAGTTTGCAAATGAAATTAAATTATAGTTTCAGTTTTAGTAACTAAGGGGTAATTGCGCCATTTCATATCCCAATTAGCGGCCACTTTTCATAAAATATTTAACATAAGGATATGTTTGTTACATTGTGATATTCAAAGGGTATGTTAGTATAGGGGTACGTTTGTTAATTTGCAATAGTAGAGGGGCACAAAGTGTTATTAACCCTATATATTTTGACATCTTGGAATAGTGGTTGGGCTGCGGCTAGATGCAAAATGCCTCTTCCCTGCCAAGGAGCGTCTGAACGTTTTATCAAGCCAATAGTTAATTGTAACAGTATAAGGTGGCTGATAGTATCACAATTCTACTTATAATCTTCGATAGCCGACACATTCTGATCTAGTTAACGAGGGGAATCACGATATTAATTGAAGAATATGAGTGAGATATAGATAAAATACTTGCAAAGGAAATGATAAGGGCAGTGGTATAGCTAGAAATTCATCTAAGGTGTGCCGAACGTGAAAAAAAAACAAATATATTACGTCTTCCTAAGCCCTTTGAATAGGGATGGCAATTTCGTAAGAGGAAAAGTACGACAATAATTTACTAGAATGACAAAAATTAATTAAAACAACATAATTTCATGAAAATATTATATTTATATGCTAAATATAAAATATTCTAGAGAAACATAATGATTATTTCTAGACAAAATACATATGCATGTGTATAATCGGGCGGGTTCGGGTTGAATAGTTAGATAACCATGCCCACCCATTACCCGCAATATTCGGGTTTGGGTTTTACCCGTACCCACTAAAAATGCTTCGGGTTCGGGTTTTACCCTACCCGATTAGGTCGGATTTGAGTGGATATCCACGGTTACAAATATTTTTGCCATCCCTACCTCTGAACTACCCGGTGCTTTATAATATATGTTCTTTGCCTTTTGCTTGCCATGTTTCTGGATGTGCTCATGTTTTGAGAATTCTTTTACAATATATTCATCATGCAAATTATGAGAGATATTAAGATAGCACAGGGAAAAATCGTTCATGATTTCACAACTCATTTTACTTATAAGTGTTTCTTTACTTTGCTTGTTGCAATAAGTGGTCTTTCAACACTTGAATGACGACCGATAGCAACAAACCACTAAGTTCTTAGTTTTTGTTTATATTAAAATCACTTACAAAATATATGAATTAAAAGTTAAATATACGTCATAAAACATTAGCTTTTGTAAAATTATCTACAATTATATAGAAATCTTGTATTCAATCAACAATCACAAAAATATAATTACTTCACATTTTTTGGGGCAAGGTGGTGCAAATGACCCACCTTGGCCACATGTGGCTCCGCTACTAGATAGGGGATGGGTCTTTTATACTCTCGTCCCATCCGTACTCCTCCATTCCTCACCAAATATCCAAACCAACACAATCCTAAATTCTTTAGTTTCACTTTTCTCTGTCTAATCAAGAACTAGGTGGTGATGCCGCGCTTTGTCGCGGGGCGGAGATGGCCTATGGGCATGTGTTATGTGACATGTTATGGTGTTTTGTTAGTATTATTAGTCTAAAATTAATTTTTTTTAGCAGTTTTGTTAGTAATATTGACTTCACAATATGATATTGACTGAGAAGAGATATATGACGGTCAACATCAAATTTGTTTATTTTTTTAAAATTTTGGCTAACAAATGATATTTACCTAAACCCAAGTAGACCCATTGATTATGGGTAGGGTATGAGTGACGTATATATGGGCTTCAGAGTTTCTAGATGGGTTTGGGTAGGGTATGGATATTTACTTTCATAATATAAATGTGTATGAGTAGGTTAAAGATACCCATTTATTTGAGGGTGTTTTAATTATACATTAAAAAAGTAGAACTATTTGTAGAGCTTCAAAAGTTTAGGTACCAAAATGTAATACAAAAAAATTTAGGTACTAAAATATAATGTTCCATCAATATTTTGAGTACTTATAGACAAAAAATAATTTAGCTTATAAATCTAAAGATCTATTAAGTTTAGGTAACAAACTTTAATTGGCATAGTTTAGGCTTAATTCCTTTTATGATGATGTATTTAAGATGAAAATTATTTACCTTTTTATGGAAAATAGTAAACTATTTATTTGATATTTTTGGATACCTAACCAAACATTTCATGTATAATTGTTGAAAATTCTAGCCTGGGTAAAAATGAAAAAGTCTAGAGAGAAGCAAAAGGAATACAAACTAATATTATGAGTATTCAAACAAGACCTTTTAATTGCTCTCCCTTCTCTAATCTTTCCCTCTCTTCTGAGTGAACCCTAATTGTTTTATGTTCAGCGGGGATGGCCGCTCCGGCCGATCCGCCCCAGACAAATTGGGCGCAATTGTTCGGAGTGGGTGAGGGTAACAGATTGAGATATGTTGCTCCTACGTTGGTTGATGGGGATCTTGTAATTCCTCAAGCAGTTCGTGATGAAGGTGTTGTTAGGTGGCACAACTTGTTGGTTGGGCAGTTTTTGTCGAAGCCTCTGAGCTTGTACAAGATCCGTCGCTGGGCATAGAGGTTCTAGGGGCGTGATGGTAAGGTTCTGGTCACACCTCTGAGTGAAAGCTTGTTTATGTTTCATCTCCCGGACAGTGATTCGAGAATGGACCATGGCACTGTGAGGGGAATCCATTGTTTGTGAGGAAGTGGGCTCCAGGAATTCAGCTGATGGCGCTAAACTTGGGGGTTTTGCTGATCTGGGTTAGTCTTCGGGGGTTGCCTCTTGAGTATTTAACCGTGGAGGGTCTTAGCAAGGTTGCGAGTAGATTGGGCACGCCTTTATGGATGGACCTAGCTACTAAGATGGGTGCTCAGATGGATTTTGCCAAAGTTTGCATTGAGATGTCGGCTACTTCATATTTTCCAGCGGATTTTCGTATTCGGACAGAGGGTGAGGAGGACTTTGACAGAGCGTGCCACATCAGTGTGCTCAGTGTGGAATTTTTGGGCATGAGATTGGGCATGGAGCTGAATATCGGTCTGTGGAGGTTATGCATGATCGAGACTTGATGGTTGTTGGTCAGGTTGATTTAGAGGATATGCAAGTTGAATGGGCTCCGAAGGATACTGGGACTGTTCAGGCTTCGTCTAGTGCATCATCAATTGCTGCTTCAAATTCAGAGCATGTTCAGCTTGCTGAGTTGGTTCAGGATTTGTCCAGTGAAATGCTTGTTACTGAGGATTCCCCTACGGCTGCTCAACCTGATGTTGCGCAGACTCCACCTCAAACAGTTGGGGATCGTGGCAAGGCAGTAGTGGATAAAGAAGGTTTTCAGCATGTGGTCAGGAAGAGTGGCCAATCCTTTGCTGGGGGGGGGGGGGGGAGTCTTCGAGTTCCACAATCGGCAGTGGCTGCTAGGGTGCCATTCAATGCACGAGGTCAAGCTATGGGTTGATCATTTGTCCCCTCCAAAGAAAGGGAAGGGTAAGAGGAAAGGTAAATGAAGCTATTGAGTTGGAATCTTAGGAGTTTTAATACTCCTGAGAAGCAAAGATATCTAAATTAACAGTTAATAAGCAATGGTATAGATATGGTAGCTATTTTAGAAACTAGGGTGTTTGCTATTAATGCCCCTAATATACTAAATAAACAGTTTAGTCACTAGATTCACCTAGATAATTATACTCACTCTTCTTCTGGGAGGGTCTGGTTGCGGTGAAGAAGTTATATGAGGAACTGTATTTGGGTATGGTAGTGGGGGAATCCTGTATTTACATGTGGGACTTCAATGATATTGCTGAAGTACAAGAGGCATCTAACACAGACGTTATCACTTAGAGTACATTGGATTTTAGGGGTTGGATCTCTAGAATGATGTTATTTGATCACAAGGTTCTAGGGTCGTGGTATACTTGGTGGAACAAGCAGAAGGGGAACCCAATTGCTAAGAGGTTAGACAGATTTCTGGTTAATGGCGAATGGTTAAGCAAGTTTCCACATAGTGTTGCACGTACTCTTGATCCTGGGGTCTCGGATCATTGTGGTTTGTTAATGGAAACAACACCAAAGGTCTCTACTCTACCGAAGCCTTTCAATTTTTTTAAATTTTGGTGGTCTTATCCATCGTATGCTAGCTTATTGAATGAAGTTTGGCATTCGGAGGGTGAGGGATCACCAGACCAGATCCTGTATGGTAGGCTGAGAGAGTTTAAGGGGAAGTTGAAAAAGTTGAACAGATCTAGTTATTCAGAGATATCTGAAAGAAAAAGAAAAGCAGAAGTAAGGCTAGCAGAAGCTCAAAAACTGGTGTTAGATTCTCCAACTGCAGAGGCTATTGAAAATGAATTGAAGTTAGCAGCTATCTGTAAGCAGTTGCAAGTTACAGAAGAGAGCTTTTATCGTAAAAATTTTAGGGTTCAATGTGTGTCTCGAGGTGATTTGAATACTAAATTTTTTCATGCCTCAGTTAAGGCTCGTAATCATAGACAGAATATCGAAAAGCTTGTTGATGATAATGGTAAGGTTTTCACTAATTTGAAGGAGATGAGTAGTCTGTCAGTTTCCTTTTATCAGGGTTTGCTGGGGCATTCTGATCCTGCTATGTAGAGGTTTCCAGACTCTTTCTTTATGGATCTGGTGAAATTGAAGTTGACTGACGAAGGTATTCAAATAGATGGGAAAGGATAAAGCTCCTGGGCCAGATGGTTATATTACTGAATTCTTTATTGCTGACTGAAATATTGTGGGAACAGATGTGGAAAATACAATTTTGGAATTCTTCTCTACGGGGAATATGTCAAGACAGGTAAACTCAACAATTCTTGCTCTTATACCAAAGATCTCTAATGTTGAACAAATGAAGGATTTCAGGCCTATCTCTTGTTGTAATGTGGTTTATATGGGCATATCCAAACTGCTATCTCTTGTTGTAATGCGTTTTTTAAGGGTCGCTCTATTAGTGATAATATTTTGTTGGCCACTAAACCAGTGAAGGACTACCATAAGCAGTCTATTAATCCTAGGTGTGCTTTAAAAATAGATCTCAAGAAGGCTTTTGATTATGTAGGCTGGCATTTTGTTTTTCAAGCTCTGCATGCTATGAACTTCCCCTCTGGTTTTCGGAATCTAATTCGAGCTTGTGTCACCACCCCTATGCTAAGTGTGGCGTTTAATGGTGGTTTGTGTGGATATTTTCCTGTGGGGAAAAGGTTAAGACAAGGGACCCTATCTCCCCTTTCCTTTTCACAGTTGCCATGGAAATCCTCTCTAGATTACTTGATATGGCTGTTTTGGAAAATCAAATACCTTATCATCCGAGATGTAAAGCACTAGAGATTACTCATCTGTGCTTTGCAGATGATATGCTTGTATTGACCAATGGATCTTGAGGGGTGTAGCTGGTATTAGAAGGTCACTTGATCAGTTTTACCTTGTCTCTCGGCTTCAATGTAATATGGCTAAATGTAGTCTCTATTGTGCTGGAATCTCAAGGAAGAAGAGGTATTTATTTCAAGTACTACTGGGTTCCCTCTGGACACCCTCCCTGTCAGGTATCTTGGGGTACCCTTAATAACTGGGAAACTGAGTTCTCATGATTGCCAGGTGTTAGTGGATACGATAACTGCAAGGGTAAGGAGTTGGCAATCACGGTTCCTCAGCTATGCAGGTCACCTACAGTTAATCTCAGTGGTGGTGTCAAGTGTTTTGCAATACTGGATGACGATTTTTATTTTGCCAACGAAGGTGTTCAAGCTTATTGAGAAAATCTGTAATGATTTCCTATGGAATGTGGGAGAAGAGGGTTTCAGGAAGAGGGCGCCAGTTGCATGGGATTATGTTGCCTTGCCAACAAAGGAGGGTGGACCGTGGATTCAGGATTTCAAATCCTGAACCAGGCTTGTGTCATTCGACACATCTGGAATCTCCTTTCAGAGGCAGGGTCAATTTGGGTTGCCTGGAGCTATAAATACAGGGTCAAGCAGAGATCTTTTTGGGATTTGCATATCACTGCTAGTGGCTCTTGGGTGTGGAGGCGCATTCTAAAATGCAGATTTCAAGCTCAAGCTTTTTATAACTGGAAATGGAGCTTCATTGCAATGGGATGGCACTACACTCAAAAGATTTTCAGTTAAGGTAATCTGGGCTTCAATACGAACCCCCACCAGGTAGTCCCTTGGAACAAAGTGCTATGGGATAAGCCATATTATCCTAAGCATACACTGTTAGTATGGTTAGTGGAAATGGGTCGTATATCTACAATGGACAAGTTGCTAGCCTGGAAGCTTGTTTGTGAGGATTTATGTGTTTTGTGCCTAGGAGGTTCTGAGTCTCGTTCTCATCTTTTATGTTCGTGCTCATATTCATTGTGGATATTACTACATATTATGCAACAAATTGGTTGTTTGATGCCTATTTTCTGTAGTTGGGAGGATCATCTCCAATGGGGGATTGATCGATGGAGTTGTTCAAGTGATTTTGAAGTTGCTGGTAGGTTTCTATGGATAATGACTTTAAGTCACATACGGCAAGAGAGATGTAGAAGATTTGCTGGAAAAAGTGATTGGTGTTCCTTTTATAGTCTGATAATGAAGATTAACTGTGATGTCCGGTATTTTATAGCAGGTAATATGCAGCTTCCGCACAGTTTTAGAAGAGTTTCCCCCTAAAACTTGGGGTTTTTCCTTTTCACGTTTGCTTGTATACGTGATTGAATCTTGTGTAATTCACGAGAGGAGTTTAATGCTTGTTGCCATCTCCTGGGCTTAATGGCAATTTTGGATTAAACATAAAAAAGGAGTACAAACTGGAACTCGCTTAAAATTTCACGCCTTCAAATCCCATAGTGGAAAATGATGAATTTCTAATAAGTAATAACCATATATATTTATTTTTAATTGGACTCGACATTGAGCTGAAAAAGTTAGTGGTTCATGATTCAATTATTAATTCTCTAGACTGTTAGTGAGTCGTGTATGGACCCGTTCATACTTGTGATTAGAAAACATAAAAATGGTATGCTAATTAGGGTTATACAAGGCGGGTGAAAAATGAAACGAAGAGGAAGTAGATGATGAAAAGGTTTTGACCAATTCTTTTAGTTGGTCGTCAATACAACAGCCAACCCTTTTCAACGTGGCAATTTATTGACACTTGCTTTTGTAGATGTCGCATATTTTGTTACATGTAGTTAGTAGAAGTTTGTTTAATACCCCATAAATGTACGAAATGAGTTTAATGTTTTAGAGTCGTCTCTCTTTTATCATTTAATGTTTCACGTAGAGCAAATATAAAATGGTTGAATCTTCTCCTACAGTTGAGTGATACAACATCTTGTATGGTACAAACTAAGTTTATACTTATATGTTATGGTGGATTGCATTCATGTATTGGTTCAAAAAGATTGGTGGATTGGATTCATGGATTCAAGTGAAATCTAAACATTGGACTAATATGTAAATTTTAAAATTGTCGGTACAAAAAATCTCATAAAATTTAGATACCAAAACATAATTGTTCAATGATTTTACATTAAAATTAAATTTGGAGTATCAAAATATAAAATATACATTATAGTGACTAAGTTATAAATTAATTAAATTTGGGGTATCATAATATAATTTTTTGTGCAACAGTAACCAAACTTCAACTTCATATATATTAACAACAAGGAAACTCATTAACAACCTCACCAAATCACTTGGTGTCACTCGCTTCTAGCATTTATGGTCCTGATTGGTGCCGTCGTCTATTTATTCATTTTACGGGGGCGTGATAAGAATATACCCAATGTGTCTCACCATAATCAAAAGATACAAGAACTAAGAGATCGATGAATGGAACATAATTTGTGAGCTAGATTGAAGCCAATTCTTGTATCAGTAGCTCTCTCCACAAAAATAAATGAAGGAAACATTATTTCAATCCTCTTATATATTTCTCCACAATAGGAAACAAAACAAAGGAAGTTACAAGCCATAAAATCTTCTCAATTGTCAGGTTGTAGGTAAGCATCAAACCACACTTGAAATTGAGCTAACAAACATTAATTAATGAAGCCAATGGGCCATTCATGAAAGCTGTTTTTTAATACTTTTTAGTGTTCTTTGTTTCATGTGTGAGAAACATATTTATCAATTTGAGCACTGCAAAGGGAATTTCTATTTGCCAGTCTCACTGCCGAAGGAAGAAATTAAGGACCGATTCAACTGCCAAAGACGACACTAGAGCTAGACTTAAATGTTTATGTTTACCATTTCTAATAAGGATTCCAAGTAGGTAAGTGGACTTTCTAGCTCTAGATGTCCCTTTGATTTGATTTGGTGCTGATAAGTTGATGGGTGATAGATTATTAATATTAATTATAATATTATTATTATTATTATTATTATTATTATTATTATAGGGAAGTCGGCTACTTTTAGCATAAGTGGGAGGGGATTATTATTGTTATGAGGTATTTTGGGTAGAATTGTCGTAGGTTTAGGGATTTGTTGGCCGAATAGGAGTAGTAAAGGGATGGGCGGCTATTACTTGGCAGGAAGACTAGGTTTAGTTATTAGGGTTTGGGGTGTTTTACTATAAATATGTACTTTGTGGTTCAGTTTAGAAATGAATGAAGAAGAAAAAAAATCTTAATTTAGTTGTTTTAGTTTATTTATCGTTCTTATGCTGCGATGCTTGGTACGTCAATGCATCAATTGGTATCAGAGTCTGGTTTAGACGAATTGAGCTTGCTGCTACAGCTCCCAGGGCAGGTATCGACAACGTTCGATCACACACGTTGGGAAGAGGTCCAGAGAGCAACCACACTGCCGTCAAAGTTCCAAGGCCCAACGTCGCTGGCCGTTCGCCATGCATCGCTGGAGGTTACGACCTCATACACTGCTGCCGACCTCGTTGATGGAGGTCATGTCGGAGACTGTTGGCCGACGTCAGAATCCCTCGACGAACCGCCAGACGTTCGCGTCAAAATTTTGGAGGTTGCGCCACCGATGGCCGCGACCTCGTCCCCAGCTGCCAACATCGTCACCAGCTGTGAGGACGGAAGCTGCGTTCCCACGTGGGAACTTGTCTTGCAAATGCTTAAGGACCTGCTACAAACCCTCCATAGGCAACGTGAGGAGATGAAGGCCTTCTCCAAGAAACAACACGAAGCCTATCGAGCCTTCCCTGCCACAGTTGCAACCACCGCAACTCCCACCACGCAAGCACCGACGCAACGGCTGGAATCTCTTCCTTGGCGCCGTTTCCGCCATCAAGGGAACCCATCCGCCCGCCGTTGCTGTTCCGATCATTGTCAACGTGCAAACATTGTCTGCTACCACGCCACGGTCGCTGCCGACCTCTAATCTGCCGCATCTAGCTCATGAAACTGTCTTCAACGATTTCGTCGAAATTTCCCATGAAGCTGTGGTAGCCTTCTCCGCCTCTAGGACTCCTATTTCCGGGTATGAGTTCGTTTTCTGTTCTAACAATGACCCCTTTATATTTTACCATTCATCAAATCTCGCGGACAAGATTCTTTAAGGGGGAGGGGAGGGGGTGTAGTATGAAAGGAAGAAGATGACGATATGCAAGGGTTGTGATAGTAATTGGAAGTTTAGGAAGCGGGCAAGCGAAGCATCAAGCTACTCTGTTATGAAGATGCTCCGTTGCAACTAGAAGTATATGAAGCGCAAGCCATATCAAGTCTTCACCATCGTTTGTCATCTCCCTCACATTTACATAGTTGTTTGCAAACCTCAGGGACAAGGTTGTTTTAAGGGGGGTGGATTGATGGGTGATAGATTATTAATATTAATTAATATTATTATTATTATAGGGAAGTCGGCTACTGTTAGCCGAAGTGGGAGGGAATTATTATTGTTATGGGGTGTTTTGGGTATAGTAGGTTTAGGAGTTTGTTGGCTGAATAGGAGTAGTAAAGGGGTGGGTGGCTATTGCTTGGCCGGGTAGACTAGGTTTAGTTATTAGGGTTTGGTGCGTTTACTATAAACATGTACTTTGTGGTTCAGTTTAGAAATGAATGAATATGAAAAACTCTTAATTTAGTTATTTTAGTTTATTTATCGTTCTTGTGTTGTGATGCTTGGTACGTCAATGCATCAATTGGTATCAGAGCTTGGTACCGACAAACCGAGCTCGTTGCTGCAGCTCCCAGGGCAAGTATCGCCAACGTTCGATCACCAACGTTGGGAAGAGGTTCCGCGAGCAACCACGCCGCCGCCAAAGTTCCTAGGGCCAACGTCGCTGGACGTTCGCCATGCATCGCTGGAGGTTACGACCTCATACATTGTTGCCGACCTTATTGATGGAGGTCACGTCGGAGACTGTCAGCCGATGTCAGAACCCCTCGACGAACCGCCAGACGTTCGCATCAAACTTTTGGAGGCTGCGCCACCTATGGCCGCGACCTCGTCCCCAGCTGCCAACATCGTCACCAGCTGTGGGGACGAAAGGTGCGTTCTCACATGGTAACTTGTCTTGAAAATGCTTAAGGACCTTCTACAAACCCTCCATAGGCAATGCGAGGAGATGAAGGCCTTCTCCAAGAAACAACGGGAAGCCTATCAAGCCTTCCCTGCCACAACTACAACCGCCACAATTCCCACCATGACAGCACCGCCGCAACTGATGGAATTTGTTCCTGGAGCAGTTGTCTCCATCAAGGGAACCCATCAGCCCACTGTTTCCGTTCCGATCATTGTCAACGTGCAAACATCGACTGCTACCACGCCACGGTCGCTGTCGACCTCTAATCTGCCGCCTCCAGCTCATGAAGCCGCCTTCAACAATTTCGTGGAAATTTCCCATGAAGCTGTGGCAGCCTTCTCTGCCTCTAGGACTCCTATTTTGGGGTATGAGTTCGTTTTCTGTTCTAACAATCACGCCTTTATATTTTTGTCCATTCATCCGAATCTCACGAACGAGATTATTTAAGGGGGTGGAGTATGGAAGGAAGAAGACGACAATATGCAATGGTTGTGCTAGGAATTGAAAGTTCAGGAAGCGAGCAAATGAAGAATCAAACTACTCTGTTATCAAGATGCTCCGTCTCAACTGGAAGTATAGGAAGCGCGAGCCATACCAAGTCTTCACCATCGTCTATCATCACCTTCACATTTGCGTAGTTGTTTGCCAACCTCGGGGACGAGGTTATTTTAAGGGGGTGGATTAATGGGTGATAGATTATTAATATTAATTAATATTATTATTATAAGGAAGTCAGCTACTGTTAGCTGAAGTGGGAGGGGTGTTTTACTATAAATATGTACTTTGTGGTTCAGTTTAGAAATGAAAGAAGAAGAAAAATTCTTAATTTAGTTGTTTTAATTTATTTATCGTTCTTGTGCTGCGATGATTGGTACGTCAATGCATCAATAGTCTATTCAAAAGTTCCTTAATCAGTAATATAATTGACCTGTTTGGCGGGTTCAAGGAGTCAAAATATGTTGGTCTTATTATGTATTGAAAACCAAAGAAAGAATAATTAATAACCTCGTTGAATAAGCTTGTTATTCGAAATAAAATCATGCTTTAGAAATCAGCTCTTCTATATTTCCCTGAAACGAGAGGCATCAGTATGGTCTATGTTGACAAACCAATTGGTGTTTTATTAATGACAATTTGTTTTCAATGAAAACTAGTCAGAATTTTAAATCAAAAAGGTCAGCAATACAATGGCAACCAGCGATAGGGCGGCTCTCAAAAGCTACAGCATGCTCGCTGCTGCGCGAGACACGAATCTGGATCACGTCCACCATTGATATCATCTTAAACAAACAACCGAGATGAGAATCGATGCCCAGCCCAAGGCCAGCCCAGGCAGAAAGCGTCAACAAAAGTGAATGATCAATTAGGGTTTGCAAAATGCTGTGTTGAGATTATGGTGGAGTCAAAGTGCCCTGAAGTTTTGTGATTTGCTCCGGATGAAGGGACTGGTTTCTCTTCTCTTGAGTATTTCAATTTGCCTCAAATCTGTCAGAAGTGTAGTAGGTTTGGTCATGATTGCGGTAAGGAGGAGTGGAATAAGAAGAAAGTATGGGTTCTGAAGGCTAGAAAGCAGAATCAAGAGGAACATGTGGTGCAGATTGAGCATATTCCAGAAAAGGTCCAGATGGAGATTGTGGCTCCAGTAGTTGAGAATTTTGAGGAAGCTTCCTTGATTGAGGAGAAGGGTGAGAGGCTGGGGGATATCTGCGGTGCCCCTACTAGTGAAGAAGATCCTGAGGATATCTGCGCGCCGACGGAGTTTTCCGTCTCGGTGATTTGGAAGTTCGGGAGGTGCGACTAGAGGGCGCTTGTGGAAGGGCTCAGGTCGGGGAATTTCAGATGCTGGTGCTGGTTCTGCAGCTCGGGTGCACGGAAGAGACCAAGGTGAAGGCGACGACGGTTCTGAAGATCCTGAATCCTTTCAGGATGGAGTTCGAGTGCACTGAATCTGTGGATTTCAGGAACCTGAAACGATCGTTCTGAAGACCAATCTTTGCGGTGGTGAATTTTTGGGGGCAGGATTTGGTGTACGATAGAAATAGGATGATGCTTTTGTGTAAAAAATAGTTAATGATCTTAGTCTAGAGTGAGGATTACTTCGTACATGCAATGCATACAGTACAATTCTTTTTCACAAATCAATAACAACGATTATGAGTTATAAAACCATTTCAATTTTTCTATACAAGTCCATCATACTGATGTGGTTCTACAATGAAGTCGGTTCAACATACTCTTGCAACCACTCTACAATTACATTTGATACTATTGCGTTTCACAGTTGTGACGGTTGTTTTTCGCTATCTGGTTCTCGCGGCCGTGAGAATTTTCGCGGTTGATGTCATCCAGCCCGTGAGTTTCTCTTGTTCCCTTTTGTCCCATTTTACAGTATAGTATGTACAAGTCACGATCCAAGTCTCACGACTGTGACTTTTCCCGACTTAAAATTGGGTTGGTTTGTCTCCATTTGCCCTATGTGACCAATAGAAAGGGTGTTGATATTACTTGAATCGAATGATTTGTCGTCGGACTCGGACCTGTTCTATAACCTTATCATTTGTTATATTGGATTGTGGTTAGACCATTATACTCCTCTATAATTTGTAATCTCCTCAAATATAATGAAACTGGTTCTCTCCTCGTCCATCGACTAGCAAGCACACATTGCACTAGTGAACTAAATAAATAAATATATATATATATGGTGGCTTCTATGGTACCCCGGGTGAAATCTGGGGTACCGCATACCTCGAGTATGGAAACTCTATCTGGACCTCGAATTACCAGGATTTTTGTGTCTGATATTATACCCTAACCCTTAATGAGTGAACCCTAGGTCATAATTATCTAAATCATAATCTATAAACACTAAGATGGTGCATTCCTTTTTGTGCCTATATTTGGATGAATCATAACCGTCGATTATTATTTCTAATTAAATTGATCTTGGAGTATAATATTGGGAGAGTTAACACCTAGATTTTGATCTATAAGTGTTAGAGTATAGTATCATGTCCGAAAGATCGGTCAATTCAAGGACTAGATAGTGTTTTCATACTCAATGTATGCGGTACCCCGGATTTCACCTAAGGTACAGTAGAACTCGCCATATATATATATTCTTTACTTTCTTCACTATCGTTCCTTTCTTCTATTCTCGATTAACCCCGGTTCGTGCGTGACAAAGAGAATTAAATTTTTTTCTTGTCATTGTATTTAAGGTTGGATTACATTTTCAATAAAAAAAGAAGGGTTTATATCAGGCCGCTCTAAGTCTCTATCATCAAAGAAATAAAATAGCAAAAAGTTTCGCCTTGTCACGGAGAACGGAGAAACCATGATTTTTTTCTTGATTCTCTTCGATTTCATCAGAAACTTTGAGGTCGTTTGCTTGTAGGATTTCAAAAAATGAAAGATTTAGGTTAAACCTTAAATTTTATGGATGAAGGATTATGTGAGACTTTGTCACTTTGGATTTGTGTTGGATTTTAAAAAGTGTTTTCTTGCTTGTTGGATTTCATATTGGATTTGTGTCCATGTGATTTTTTAATTATAGGCTGAATTTACATTTGTATCCTTAATGATTTGTGTCCTTGATGTTCAATATATGAAATATTGAAAAGAGATGAGGATAGATCCGTCATTTACCATCATGGATTTTAGCCCCCACAAAATCCCAACTAAATAGGTGGGATTTTATAATTTGTGGACCCCACGAATTTGGGCCTCAAAATAATCCCACATACATGGACCCACACACAATAATCCAACACCACTTTAACACCACACATGGATTTGTGCATAAAATCTCATGGATGTGGAATTTTAATCCAACATCCATGATGAAAATCCTACAAGCAAGCGAACTCTTTCTGTGATGCTGGATATGGTTTCATGAACATTGATGCAAAGTGTAGGAGTTAAAACGGTTCACGGTTGCATTGTATGAAATTTCATAGTAGAACGAATATTCAAATGGTGTTTTCCATTGACGGAAGAAGCCAATAAGTTAACTGAAGAAAGAACACGATACAACAATGCATGATAGATCATATCACACATCTTATTGCAAAATCATAGTCACTGGAGCTAAGCCGATTAGCCGAAGGCATGGGGGAGAAGAGCAAACAAACCCACAACAGGTGCTAAATCCAGTACAATAAACAGAAATTGCGTCTGTGTCTAATAATCACATATCTGTCCATAACAAGTGTGGAAAATAAGGCGAAAAATAGCTGCTGCTTAGATACTGTTACAACTACAGATTACTAATCAAAGGAGATTCTGGTCGATACAATGGCAGTAAAAACATGGAATAACTCTACTGCTCCTTGGCCCTCTTTTCCACTTCCTCCAACCTCTGGATCTCTTTGTGGTAATGGGATATACGATAGAGACACCTGCACGGCGATTTGCAAGACGTAATTAGATGAACACCTCAAGTAAGAAATACAAGGTCCCAGAAATTTTGGAGACATGCATTTTCTATAGAGGCTGATTGTTTGCATACCAGTACAGTGTGCAAGCTATAGCACAAAGAACTACATTCCTCTGCGATTTGTACATCTGCACGGCATAACCAAACAATGATGGTCTTATCATCATAACAAAAGACAAGTCCAAAAAAATCATCCAAAGAGAATGGAGACAATAGTGTTGAAGATTAGACGTAAAAGAATCATTAGCACAACACAATTGAGAAGGCAGTCAACTGAGGAACAATTCAAATGAGAGACTAGATCCTAAGTTTCTTACTATAAGAAATGCAGGGAGGGCCAACAGTAATAATACTGAAGAGTTATATTAACTTCAGACTCTCCCCATATCGGATAAGTCTCACCAGATGATGCCTAAATGTGGAAGAGCCAGTTATTCATAAGAAATACTACTGCGTAACCAATTCTCACTGTCTAATCTGCAAAACTTCAGTTACTTTCTGCTGTAAGCTCTGTCGGATCCTAGATATGACTGCAGAAATAGAACAGCATCAGCGGCAAATAAAGATTCCACGACACCGCATCAAGACATACTCAGCGCATAGGACACGTCAACGCCTGTCTCCAAGGGTTATCATGCTCATAATAGACTCGCCACTCACTAGTTTCTTGTTCAGCAACCAGATAATAAAAAGAAGAGAAAGAAGCCTCAGTTCCCATAACAGCTTGTCGTTGTTTAATCGACGATCTGATTGACTTGTGTTGGCTGCTTAAGACCATGGGATATTGCAGCAAGGTCAAATCTAGTTGACAACAGTCTTTTGAGGTTCGCCATTACTACCTCAAATCATTGAAAATGCTTCAGAGTATGCTCCAATGCACATATAAAAGTATCCTTTGTTCATCAGAGGCTCTAAATACATATACCCCCTACAACCTAAAGCTTATTTCCTTACCATGACTCTTCTGATTGACGACTATCAACATAAGGCGTGCAAAATGAAAGTAGGAAGGGCTGAGTTTCAACTCCAAACTAGTGTTTGCACATCTACTCATCCCCTCTGCCTTAGGAATTAAGAGCTACATTTCTTACTATGACCAAGATCAACATCAGCACACCTAACCACTACTTTCCTAGTTATCCATCAAAATTCCCCCAAAATCTAAAAGCTGCACAGTAACATTCGAATCACTACCTTCCTAAGTATCAATCAAGTTCCTGAATCTAGCGGCGAAAGCTTCACAAAACTAACATCAATCAATCAATAACTTTTACGAATTAAAACAGGAAGAAAACCAAAGGCATACAGATTTCTCATAACGATCCCGCTCAGCGGCGGTGCAGATATCTGACGTGCACACCAACCGATGCTCATTCTTCCAATAAATATCTGCAAAACAAAAAACAAAAGATTCAAACCAAACAGTGCATTCACACACATCGATCCGAAAGCCGCTGGAGCTGAAAACCGAATCTAAGACGAAATCGAGAAAAGTAGAGAGAAAGTCGGCTCACCGAGGAGCTGAAATCCGGCGAAAGGGACGATGAACAGCGCCGGCTGGAGGATTAAGGAGACGAGAGAGACCAGCTGCTTCTTGAGTAGCTTTGGCGCAGGGATCGTCAACAAAGAGACGAGTACCACCTCCGCTGCCACCACGTAGGCCAGGATCATCCATTGCAACGCCATTCCCCCAAACTTGGACGAAAATGCTGCCTTCTAGCTCGCTGCAGAAGTGCGAATTCTGGTTTCGGGAGTTTCCAGAAGCGGTGGATTTGGCTTAGCTGCCTGCTGAGGAAACTGCTTTTAATTTTCTTTGGTTTGTGGTTCTGTCCGGGTCCTGGTCTCGATCCGTTGCTTAGCGAGGAAGGCGTGGTGTCATGATTTAATGCTTTTTCTCTATTTCGGTCCATTTTATTATTAAAAGGATGTTTGGGCTGCGTTTTGGTGCACCGTGGGCCGGTTCCGTGGGTTTAGATGTTATGGTCCAACAATACGTAATGTCTGGCCAATACTACGGTGATGTCATATGCGGCACCGCTGCTTTTCATTAGTCCATGTGGAGAGAAGTAGGGTTTTGTGAAGGGTTCTCAATGATTGAGGACCTTCACTTTCTCATTCCACAATATATATATATATATATATCTCAACTATTTACAGAGAAAGACTAAAGTAACTAACGACTAATTAGAACAGTAAAAATGGAAAACTAACTATCTAATCTAGCCTATAGAAACTGTACACGTGTAAACAATAAACTAATTACAATGCTCAAGTGGAACGCTGTCGTTCTGATCCCTTAGTACAAAGCCTCTTCTTGCCTTTGGACGAAACCAGAACGACGACGTTCCTGTTTCCTTATGCTCTGTTCTTCCTGTAAGAAGCAGCTCCTCCGCAGTGTGTGTTCTTCAATTCCCAGCTGCTGCTGATGGCTTATTGGAACTGATCGATTCTTCATTACGCCCCCTCAAGCTGGCGAGTATCTTCTGATACTCCCAGCTTGCTCAACAACATCTTGAATCGATCAATTCCTAGACTCTTAGTGAATAGGTCTGCAATCTGATGAGTAGTAGATAAATGATGTAAACTGATTAAACCATTTACTACCCTTTCTCGAATGACATGGCAGTCGACCTCAATATGCTTAGTCCTCTCGTGGAACACAGGGTTCCTGGCAATGTGGATCGCCGATTGATTATCACAAAATAAGACTGCTTGATGTGAATGATCAATGCCAAAATCATCAAGTAAACGAACAAACCACTGCATTTCACAGCTGAGTTGTGACATGGCCCTGTATTCTGCTTCGAAGGATGATCTAGATACAATGCCTTGTTTCTTGCTTCTCTGTGATAGATCTTCTACTGTTTGGACATGTCGCCCAATCTAAGTCACTGTAGTCTGTAATTTGTATGCTGGAGTTACTAGGATAAAACAATCCTTGCCCAGGTGCATTCTTGAGGTATCTAAAAACTCTTTGTAAAGCTTTGAAATGAACTGTTGTTGGAGAGTCCTGATACTGATAGAGTTGTTGTACTGCATAAGTTATGTCTGGTCTGGTTGTGTTCAGGTATTGTAATTGACCAAGTAAATGCTTGAACTTGCTAATGTCATGAAACGGTTCACCATCTTGAGCAGAGAGAACCTGTTTAACGCCGGAAGGAGTCTTTGCAGGTTTGCATTCTTCAAATCCCGCTTCTCTCAGCAGTTCAATGCAGTACTTTCTTTGGCTTACATGTATCCCACCATTAACCTTGTTAATCTCCAAGCCAAGAAAGTACTTTAAATCACCTAGATCCTTCATTTTGAAGACAAACTTCAACATCCTCTTCACTGCTTCAACTGCCTTTAAACAGATGCTTCCAATAACAATGTCCTCAACATAGACTATTATCACTACAAGCGAGTTCTCCACGGTGGAAAGGAATATAGAGCAATCATCATTGGATTGCTTAAAACCATGCGCTAATAGGGTTTTAGTCAGTTTAGCATACCACATTCTGCTAGCATGTTTCAACCCATAAAGGAATTTCTTTAACCTACAAACTTTGCCTCTTAATTCTGTTTTCTCCTTCAACCTAGGTGGCAGTTCCATATACACTACTTCATCCAAATCATCATTTAAATATGCATTATTGACATCCATGTGATGCAAATGCCAGTTCTGAATGGATGCAATTGCCAACAACATTTTAACAGATGTCAACTTTGCAACTGGAGAGAATGTATCACAATAATCAATGCCATAAACCTGATTATATCCGTTGGCCACTAATCTGACTTTAAATCTCTCAACACTGCCATCAGGGTGATACTTGACTCGAAATACCCATTTACAGCCAATGGCCTTCATTCCCCCAAGCAAGTCGGTGATCACCCAAGTTTGATTGTCATATAAAGCCTGGATCTCTTCTCTCATGGCAGCTTGCAAGCGAGGATCAATGAGTGCTTCACCATAGGAAGCAGGCTCAACAACAGCCATGAGAGAAAAAGCAAAGTGTTGCTGTTCAGGAGACAGTAGAGGAGAGCAACAGACTTGAGCCATACTCACATAGTAATCATTATATTTAGAAGGAAAATTATCTGCCTTGTAGACTTTCTAATAGGCTCTACAGGTGGGAGAGGAGAAGGATGAACCGGAGATGGGGGAATAAGAGAAGGAGGAGGAGAAGAACGATTAGAGGAAGAAACTGGATCAGGTTGATCATCAGAATCAGAATCAGAAAGTGGTGCAGCAGGAGGGGAAATGGTGGGTGTAGCAGTAGGTGAAGAAGAATGTTCTACTGCATGGTTGACAACAAGGGGTGGTTGTCCATAACAAGGGTCATCCTGAGGAGAAAAAGAATCTGAGTAGGAAGGGAGATTAAGTGACTCACCTTCAGATGAACTATTATCTAAGTGCTCATTGGTTTTGAATGGAAAGCGATTTTCATAAAACACAACGTCTCTATTGATAAACACATTTCTGGTGTTTGTGTCTAACAGTTTAAAGCCCTTAATTCCTGTAGGAAATCCCAAAAACACACATTTACGTGCCCTTGGATCAAATTTGTACTTATGTCCCTCTACTACAGTGGCATATGCTAAGCATCCAAAACTCTCAAACTCATGTAGTCTGGTGGAACGTTATGGAGGATCTCAAAAGGAGTTTTGTGGTTAAGAATGGGGTAGGAGTTCTGTTAATTAAGTAGGCAGCATGAAGAATGAAATCCTCCCAATAGTAGAGTGGAAGACCATACTGATATTTCAAAGATCTGGCAACATTTAGAAGATGCTGGTGTTTTCTTTCAACTCTGCCATTTTGTTGGGCAGTATAAACACAACTCATTTTGTAGGAAATTCCATTTTGACTATAGAAATCTGTCATATGGAACTCTTGTATTTGATCAGATCGAATGGTATTAACAGATTTAGAGAACTGTGTTTTAACCATTCTGCAGAAAGATTGCAAGATGGTTCTGGTTTCTGATTTGGATTTCATTAGGAAAGTCCAAACAGTTCTACTGTGATCATCAACCACAGTTAAGAAGTAAAAAAAAACCACTTCGAGAAGCTTTGTTTAATGGACCCCAGATATCCACATGTAAAATATTAAAGCATTCAAAACTTACAGAAGAACTTAAAGGAATGGTAATCTTTTCTGTTTTGATAAGTGAAAAACTTCACAGTGTTTTGTCAATGGTAAAACAACCTCAGTACAATGGTTTTTAACATCTCTCATTCTAGCTAAGGAAGGATGGCCTAATCTAGCATGCCAGATGTTGGATTCTGAGGTTTGAACATGGGAAACTCCTGCTGCAAATGGTTGATGAACTCTACTGGACTCAAACTGCTGACTTTTCGATTGGCAAAACAGGTATAATCCTTTATCCACTTGGGCTAAACCAATCCTCCTCCGAGTAATAAGGTCCTGAATGACACAGAAATTTGATTTAAAAACCAATTAAACTGGATGATTTGGGCTAATTTACTTACAGAAACCAAATTGTAAGTAAAGGCTGGAACAAAAAGAACTTGAGTGAGGAATAATCCACAAGGCATACAAACAATCCCTATATGAGTAGCTTGAACCTGTTGTCTATTTGGAAGATTCACATACACATTCTCAACTGGTTTACTTCTAATGAAGAAACCAAGTCTACAGATAATGTGATCTGTAGCTCCAGTATCAAGCACCCATTCAGACTTGTGCAAAGAGTTTAGCAAACCAGAATAGGATTGTTTACCTGTTGAACTGGAACTAGCTGTGAAGTGAGGAGGAACTCTCATAACAGCATTGGCAGAAGTTTGATGGGAGGTTGTTGTGGGAAATCTTCCTAAAGTAGCAGTTGGCAGGTGAGGTGAGGTGGGAGGTGAATGAGAGTTGGTTAACATGAGCTTCAGCTTTTCAAACTAATATGGAGTCAGAAGACTTTGAATGTTCATGTCATTCCCTGCACTAGAGTTATGTGCATAGGAAGGCCCCCAGTCTCAGAAAGGGTGGTTTCAACTGAACCAGCAAATGGCTGCTCTCCTTCTTGCCTCATTTTGTTCTTAAGCCTGTAGCAATCCACAATTATATGACCTTCCTTTTTGCAATACCTACACCACTTCTTTCCTTCAATGGTGTAGTCTCTGGATTTCTTACCAGATAGTCCAGTTTTTGATTGTTGTGGATGACCACTAGCTAGTAAAGCCAGAGAATCCACTCTTTCTTTTGCTGAATTCATTCCTTTCATTTGTCTTTCTCGTTGCACCATTTGCTTGAAAAACTGACTCAATGCTTGGCAAATGTGCATTCATCAACACCTGAGTTCTAGCAAACTAATAAACATCATTCAATCCTTGCATGAACTTGATAATGAATAGTGCAGAATGGACTATTGGGAGATGGACAACATGAGATAGGTCTATACATCTTATACTCCTGCCATTTTGTAGTTAAGGCAGTATAATACTGAGTGACAGTGAGGTCTCCTTGAACACACTTTGCAATCTGTCTTCCAATTCACAAACCCTCATGTTGTCCTCTTGACTAAACCTGTCTTTCAAGCTATCCCATATATCTTTTGCAACTTTAAAAGCAACAACACTATTGGCAATGTCCTTAGACAATGAATTGTAAATCCAACTACGTACAGTTCCATCGCATCTAAGCCATGATTGATACAATGGATCCCCAACAACAGGAACAAGAATCATTCCATTCACAAATTGAAATTTGTTTCGGGTATTGAGAGCTACCTTCATAACTTGACTCCACAGATTATAGTTCTGATATCTTAACTTCATGGAGATGATGGTGTTCGGTCCTCCATCACGAGTAGGCAAATAGAAGGGATTCAGGTATGGATCTTCATACTGGGGAAAGCGAGGTGTGTTGAGTTGAGTCGCAAAGTGTTTTGCTCCGAAAGGTTGAGCTGCTAGTGGTTCTATTCGACGTCCAGTGGGAGAAGTCTGCGAGGTAGCTTAGTTCTGGATCTCATCTTTAGATCAGTAAAAATGGAAAACTAACTTTCTAACCTAGCCTATAGAAACTGTACACGTGTAAACAATAAACTAATTACAATGCCCAAGTGGAATGTTGTCGTTCTGATCCCTTAGTACAAAGCCTCTTCTTGCCTTTGGACAAAACCAGAACGACGACGTTCCTGTTTCCTTGTGCTCTGTTCTTTCTGTAAGCAGCAGCTCCTCTACTGTGTGTGTTCTTCAATTCCCAGCTGCTGTTGATGGCTTCTTGGAACTGATCGATTCTTCATTAAAATCAGTTCCTCAACTCTATGAGAGAGCTAGGGATCTAAATCTACCATCGCTACCTCAATCTCTTTGGTTTTCGGATTGGGGATGTTTTACTGCTCTTACCTTCGGTGAGATTGGAGCTGGGGAAGTACAATCGCAGTTGATTGAAGTTGTAGATATCGTCTTCTTCCCCTTCCCTCTTCGCTTCTCCTGCTTTACCTTTTTGGGTTGCGTTTAATTTTTCCAATTCCCAGGTTCTCCAGGGGCTAAGACTAAAACCAACAAGGGATGGCAACAAAACCCGAACCAACGGGTACCCACCCGACCCAACCTGGTCAACGCGGGTAAAACCCGTGTTGACGGGTTTTGGGTCGAGTTCGGGTTTAAACCCGCTACACTATTCACCGGGTCGGGTTGGGTTTGGGTGTAGGTAAACCCGCCCCATGGGTACCCGCCCACACACATATAATTACTTTTCCGGTATATTTAATACTCTAAATAATATATCTTCCTTAAACAATTAATATTCTTTATGTTTGTGGAGACATATATAATTTGTTGTTTCTAATTGTTTAGAATGAAGTTGATAGGGTTATAGGTATAATATGCCCCTCTACTATGACGTTTTATCAAACATGCCCCTCTACTATTTTTTACATCAAACATGCCCCTATAATTTGGAAAAATTATCAAACATGCCCTTAAGTTGAAATTTCCATTGAAAAAATCGACAATCATGGTTGAACCGAGATTTAGACGACCTGACATCGATAAATGGGAGGGAAAATGTCAGTTTTGACTCTTGTTTTATTTCTCTAGGTCTCGTCAAAGTGATATTATTAGAATTATTTGGCTATACAAAAGAAAAAAAAACTCTAAAGTGAAATTATTAGGGATATTTTAGATATTTGGGTCGCCCAAACCAAAGTTCGGTCTTGGTTAACGATTTTTGGATGTAAATTTTAACAAAAGGGCATGTTTGATAAGTTTTCCAAAGTACAAGGGCATGTTTGATGTAAAAAATAGTAGAAGGGCATGTTTGATAAAACATCATAGTAGAAGGGCATATTATACTTATAACCCAAGTTGATATTATGAAGTGGAGAGTGAAGAAACTTAGTTGACGAGTAAGAAGTTTTCAATTAATCTTATTGTTTATAGATGTTTATCTTTAATTTTGAACAATTTGTATTGATCATTTGCGGTTTGCTTGTATGCTCTAGATTGGTGTTTTTTGTATGAATAATTTGTATGAGAAAATTAATGTTAAACTTTTATTTTGAAATAAACTTGTTATTGTAAATTTTTTACCACAAAAACCCACGGGTACTCATCAACCCGCGGATATCCAGCGGGTTGGGTTGGGTTTGAGTTTTTCAAACCCAGCTGGTTTTACCCCGAGTTTTTTTGACGGATAAACCCACGAATTTGGGTTTGGGTTTGACAAAACCCGCCCCAACCCGACTCATTGCCATCCCTAAAACCAACTGGCGTCTTTGAACGAGAAGATCGATACCCTGGAGCGTCGGCTGGAGGTAGCCTCTCTTCGGAACTATTGGTCGAATCTCCTTTTGGCACTGGGAATCGATGCTTCCATGGAGCCCAGATGTGGTTAGCCAAGGTGTGGGAGGGATGCTTTTAGTTGGAGATGGGTTGCGTCAATGGAAACGACAACAGTTGCCGCAGGATTGAAAATCAAATCGTATAGATGAAGCTCGAAATGGAAGCTTGATCATGCGAACGCAGGGGAAATCAGTTGAATCGATATTGCAAAGGACACGAGAGCTGCAGGGGAGCTCCACCGACCGGAAAAACCAGAGAGAGGGCAAATCGAGATCAGGAGGTTGGAGAGAAGTAGTGAAATTGTGAATTGGATGGTTGGTCGTTCGCATCTACGAGGATCATCGGTGCCACTGTTGGGGGGATATCGGAATTGGATGTCCACGGTGAGAAGCAGGGTGAGAGAGGGTCCTGCAGCGGTATGGGGTTAATAATATTTTTTTTTTATTATGTTATTATTTTAAATTAACTATATTTAAAAATATGATGTGTTAATGACGTGGCATCTACGTGGAAGCCACGTTTCTTCCACATCATTGAAAGTCAACAATAATTGACTTCCATCCAGTCAACAGTGATCTTTAACGGTCAACATAAAGTGGCAGGATACGAATGTCACACATGTCTTATACGTCGGGATATAAATGAAATTTTGAATAAATTAGGACACAAGTGACATTTTTTGGATAGTTCGAGTGTTGTAGTGGTATTAGCCATTTATTCTAGTGCATCGAAGGGGCATTGGTTGATCAAGGTGATGTTTGAAAGTGCTCGAACAAGAAGCTTCAAAAACGTATCAACACTTGCTGTTAGAGGAAGAACAATCTGAATCCGAGAAGGATTAGGATTCAACCGCTGTTTTGTTTTAATTTTCTTTTCCAGTTAGAATTCGTGTCTGTTTGAGTTATAGCCTGTTTAAGATGTTCTTTACTTGCGTTGTAAGATTAGTTAGCCTATTTAAACTCATGTCTACATTGTAATGATCAGGTTTTGCTCAATTGAATACAAAGTTGGCATTGGTTCATCTTGCTCTTTGCTTGACGAATTCGAGTGGATTGCTTAGGCGTTTCTAAGCAATCGAGTGCTTGTATCGATCAGCTAGTCACGCTTATTCGTGGCCAAACTTCTACCCTAAGCTTCGAACCTTTCTCCCCTTGTGAGGATTGCACGAAGTTCCATCCCCGTTGATCGATTTTACCCCTGTTTCTGTTCGAGGAATTGAGCTAAGAGTTCAATTTGATTCTTAACTGAGCAACTCTAATCTAAAGCCCTATCAAGGGTTTATCATCGTCGAGGGGAACATGCAGTCCAACGGCGTCGCACAAACTCTAACTCTCAAGTGCTGCCCAGCCGCGAGAACTCCAGATCTGGCGCTTTCAATCACGGGAACAAAAAAGGAAACAAAGAATCATTGAAGGTTGGGATCGAAATCGAGAGCGGCTGCGGTGGGAAAAGAATGAGCTGTTACGACGGAACCTAGAGCACATGACGGAGAAGAACGAGCTGGTGTTTTACGACCGGCGGAAGGATTTTCGCCGTTCGAATTGGAGATTCGGATGATGCGGCGACACCATGTGTGCTATCTTCGACTAATTGGACTCATTCGCGGTTTAGAGAGACGGGAGCCAAGGGGTCACCGGCGGTGCAGGGGACAGATTCTGAACCACCTGCGTAAGGAGATAGATACGCTGTCAAAGAAGATTATTATTTGTGATCGTCTCAAGAACTCCTTTTTCTAGAGGTATTCCCGTTCTTTCTGTTTGATATGGGTTGTCTTCCTGGTGTCCACTTGATACCCAATTGCTTCCCAAGCTTTGGTTCTTCTGTTTCATCATCAATCTGTCAACGACAACCCAATGGAAAGACATGATTTGGGGTGGATGATGATGCCCAACCTTGAACGTAGGAGCTAGGAATGGATCAAGTGTACGAAAAGCTACTGAAAAGGCAGCTCTCCACGAGAAGAACAGCGGAAAACGGGGTGGATGTCTTCGTGCAACTTCTCGTCCAAAACTGGGGAAGAGGCTCGATCGACAATAGTCGCAACTCGTCCACAATTGAGGTGGCTACTCAATTGATGTTGAGCTCGCTTGATTGATGGATTCAATCCAATCAAACCAAGGAAAGATTCATGAGACAAACTCAATGAACAAAGGTGTTCTTTTCATAAAACATGAATTGAATTACAATGTAAACAATGCTTAAATAGACTCTAGCTACTTAGCCGGCAAGAAACAAACGTCCTACACTTAAACATAAACTCAAACTAACAAGGAAAGAACAAAACTCCAAAACAATCTAAAGGTCCTACTCCATCAAGGACTCGGATTACACCTTCCAAAGTCATAATTCAGCGGCCTTAGTACGATCTTTGGACTCTTCGTACGAGCGTGTAACTTGGTTCGCAGCCACTTCTTCCAAATTAACCCTCAAAGTAGCTAGCTCAGACATGCCTTCTGCTTTAGTCATTTCCTGATAGATTTCCAGTTTTACCATACCATTTTGGAACGCCTTAAAAATGGTCTTCTGGACTTGAAACTGAGCTCCCAAGTGTACCATGGTGTAGTCCAACACTTCAACTTCAAAATAAACCTCCAAGCTCCCATTTTCATCAATCCACGCGTGCCGAACAGACCTGCAAAGTACCCTACCTGAGACGAGTAAAGGACTTAGCCAATTTTGATGGTCTCGTTCTTGGATCGAAGCAGTTTTTGTTTCCATTCGTTATAGCTTCTCCAAAGGTCCAATTAGGGTCATATTAGTGGATTGCATCGATAGGAAGGGAAAAAACGATAGAACATCAAGCCTGAGGAGGGAAGTGATGAGTTCAACTTAACTTGGAGAAGAAGACAAACAAGGAGAAGAATTTGCAACAGAGTTCCAACCTGGAAGATAGTGACTTGAGTACTAGAGATTGTGATAAATTAAAACAAGCAAATTAATTCAATAGTTTGTAGATATGAGGATAATGGTGGTTTAAAATCAACTGAAATACCCAACTTTTCAGGTTAGGGGAGGTTTATGTTGGAAGCTTGTTGATGATAATGGTAAAGTGTATATGATGATGTTGGTCAAGTTCTTGCTATAATGATCAAGGTTATCCAATTAAAAAGTACCTTCATATATGTACAACTCTTTAGTTGGGAGAAGAAATGAAAATGTGAAAATAATGCTCAAGTTGTTTGTGGTATTTATTTTCAGATTTCTTGTAAATATTATGAAATTTTGGTATGCATTTTCAAGTTTTTTTGTATGTTTTAGAAGTTTTTTGGTACAAATCCATACCACTAATATTTCTAAGGCACACCATAGACCTCCTGATGCAGACCATAAATGTTTTGAAACAAACCAGCAACGCTACAATGCAAACCATAAATATTTCTAAAGCACACCAGAGCCTCCTAATGCAGACCACAAACACAATAAATCAAAATACATAAAGCATACCAGAAACCTCCCAATGCAAACCACAAGTCCCCTAAAACAAACCAGAAACCTCACAAAGCATACCACAAAATATTTCATAAGCACACTAGAAACCTTCAAATGCAAACAAAAAACATGATAAAGCAGACCACAAAAAGCAAACCAGAAACGTCCTAATACAGACCACAAATATATTAAAACAAACCATCAACCCCTCAAAGAAAACCACAAAGTTTTTGAAAGCACATAAGAAACTTCTTTATGCAAACCAGAAACACAATAAAGAAAACCACAAAAAGAATACCAAAAACATGAGAAACCGAATTATAATTCTCACAATGCAAACCATAACATCCGGTGATCGTTGACCGTTAACCAAACTCCGACGAGTGTCGGTGACCAGATTTCAACGCCGACAAGCATATTTCGGCCCCGGTGACAAGATTTCGACCCCGGTAAGCATATTCCGATGACGGTGGTAATAAAGCTTACTTGACTCATCATTAAGACTAGGAGTTCGGCTCGAGTTAGCTCAGTAATAAAAATGTTGAGACATCTCATGAGCTCAAAACAAGAGAGTTCACGAGTGGACCTCCACAAATCACCTAGCCGAGCTGGCTTACGAACCTCTCGAACATGACATGGATTAGTTAAACCTCGGCTCGTTAATAAACAAGTCGAATTTTTTATTAATCGAACGAGATTTTATCAAGTTGAACATCAAGTCGTTCATAAGCGGCTTGGTTATATAACATCCTCGAGTATGACATGGTGTAGGGATGACAATGGGTCGGGTCGGGGGCGGATAGTGCATATCTGTTACCCTACCCAATGTAGTTCGGGTTTTACCCATACGCGTACCCATACGAGAAACGGGTAGAAAATCAAAACCATGCCCATACCCGTTCGGGTTCGGGTATCCACGGTTATCCATGGGTAATAATTTATCCTTATAATTCCAACCAATATATTAACATTCACACGTATACTCACATTACGTAAGAGGAAAAGTACGACAATAATTCACTAGAATGACGAAAATTAATTAAAACAACATAATTTCATGAAAATATTATATTTATATGCTAAATATAAAATATTCTAGAGAAAAATAATGATTATTTCTAGACAAAATACATATGCATGTGTGTAATCGGGCGGGTTCGGGTTTTATAGTGAGATAACCATGCCCACCCATTTACCCGTACCCACGAAAAATGCTTCGGGTTCGGGTTTTACCCTACCCGATTAGGTCGGATTCGGGTGGAGGTTTTTAGTAAAACTAAAACATTATTTTTTTAGTGAGGTTTTTATACTCATTTGATGCTTATTTCCATTTAGTACAATTATCTAAATTTCACTCATTTCGACATTTCAAAGGCAAATTAACCACTTTTAAATGGAAATGTCATTTGTATCCCTTATTTTCAAAGGCAAATGTACGTTTTTAGGTTAAAGTTGGGAATAGCCTAGTGGATGGAAGTTTGTTATGCTCTATTCAAATTATGGGTTCGAACGTTAGTGGATGTAGTTGTTTTTATAATTTTCCTTTCAATTTTATTATATGTGAATGTTTTTTCAATTTTCCAAATGACCTTAACTTTATGGTTTGTTCACTTGCCATTCCAGTTCTCACAATTGCCACAACAGAAAACAAATTAAAATGGAAATGAAATTGTTGTTTCCTGATTCGGGTCTAATTGCACATGTTTTGCCCCCGTTTTACTTAGATGTTTGTGCAAAATTCGCTCCTAAAAGGTTGCTCTTACGCTAGGTTCTTCGTGTTTGGGTGTGTTTCAGGATTTAACAGGTGAAACCAGCCTCGGAGTCGAAAGATTGGAGAAAAGGATAGAAAACCGGGAGAAGAGGTGAAAAAGAGCCAGTTCACGGCTAACTGAGTGAGTTCACGGTCATGTAAGACCGTGAAGAAGAGGATTTGACCGTGAACCGCGAGATTTCCAGAGCCAATGTGAAGGTTACTAACGCAAGGTGAGTTCGAGGTCACTAAGACCGTGAACAAAGCCAGTTGACCGTGAACATACGTGAGCGATGCGGCGTGTTTTAGCGCACACCTGGAGTTCATGGACGTGTTTCATGGTTCACGGTCGTGACTCATGTCGTGAACTCAGCTCATCTCGGGTTTAAAAGATGAGCTGAAAGGAGGAGAGAGGGGAGAGCCCACTTTTGTGTGAAACACCTTCTTCGACATTCTAGTGAGAGAAACATAACTAAAGGGAAGAAGAAGGTTAGGGTTTGGCTTCAAAGCAGATTTTGGGAAGCTCAACTCAAGGGTCAAGAAGACTGGGAGCATCCTTAAAGATGGTTTCCACCTTTTTCCCTTTTATTTTTCCCACTTCTAGCATGGAGTAGACCTCCTTTCACTTGGGTGTAGTGAAACCCTAACTCTACCATGTAGTTTTCTTGTATGTGTTTTGGATGATTGTCATTGGGTATTGTTCAATTCAATGATTGAGGCATTATTTATCATGATTGTGCATACTTGTGCTTAGATTTCTAGGGGTTGTGCATGTTTTGTGCTTACCATCCTTAGGTTTGTGCATCTAGGTGCTTAGCAACCTAAGGATTGTACATAATTGTGCTTAGCACCCCTAGGTTTGTGCATTTAGGTGCTAGTAATCTAATTTGCCACCTTAGCCTAGCTTAGAGAGGAAAATCCCCCTTTCAAGGGAGACTCAATCGAGATGGTTTTCCTTCCGCTTTCTAAGCCACCTAAACTAGGTTAAATTAGGGTGACCCTCAATATTGAGTTAAGCAAGTCGATTAATCGTGATCAAACCATCAGACCTTAGAGTTGAGTGAGGGAGTAAGTCAATTACCGATGTGTAAACTGAGAGGGTCGAGTGACACGGCCTTTCATCCTTACCTCCGTTTAGCAATTGAGACTGTGGTCTCCGGCCACATATGCATTCCTCTGCGGTTCACGATTCACATGCCCAAGGCAATCGTTCCAATCCACATAGCATGGTAACGGTTAGGGGGAAGCGACACCCGAGTGACTTTCTCACAAAAGAGTTTTCAAACCAAATTATCTTTGCTTTCTTTTATTTCAATTAGCAAACCTTTAAACCAAAGTTTTGTTGCTAGATAATGATTTAAACAACTGAAGTAGGGGTAGTCGGACCGGTCCGAGTCGATATCTAAACACTTTTCCTATACTGCATCCGATTAGAGTTTAAAAACTTGGGCTCTAATTGGGATTTTATTGTGTTGTAGTTTCGTGCGAGTCAAGTTTTTTGCGCCGTTGCTGGGGATAACAGTCTGTTATTCTGAAAAATTTGTTGGTTGTTAATCTAGCTTTTCATTTTCAGTTTTGCAAGTGTATGTTTTTTTTTTTTGCTTGTGCTAGACTTGGTGTTTTCCGATTGTGTGTAGGTCAGAGCTGGTAGTCGGTCGGTATCCAGTATATCGGATACCGATTACCTGGTATTCGGTATACCGGAAACAGACAGTATACCCACCGAATACCGATACCAAATGTTAACCGGTATACCAAATACCGAATAATCGATATCTGGTATTAATACCGGTATACCGAATACCGGGTAATACATAGTAGGTTTTGTCATTTGTCACCCGTACCATACATAAACTAACGGGATTTTTCCAATAATAGCACCTTTAAAAAAAAATTACAAAAATAGCACCCATGTAAAAAAAATTACAAAACTAGCACCTTATTTTTTGGAACGCACCCCTAAGATGCGTTTTAAATGTAAAACGCACCAAACAGATGCGATCTACATGTGAAACGCATCAGAGGGGTGCAATCCGAAATATAAAACGCACCGGACAAATGCGATTTGGGGAGGACGCGTTGCGATCCACAAGATTGTCGGATTGACGGACGATCCAACGGCTCAGCGCACGCCAGCGGAGCGATCCGTGCCTTGGATCCCAGATCGCACGCCAGCAATGCAATCCGCGCCGAGGTCAGTCAAACCGCATTGGGAGGGTGCAATCTGCGCCCGGGGAAGCGGAAAACGCATTGGAAGAATGCGATCCGCGCGGGGCAAAATTACCGCCTCGTCCCTGACTGGCGCGATCTGAATCCTATAAATAGGCCCCCTTCCCCTCTCATTTCTTCACACCACCTCCCATTCTTCCTTCTCTCTCTAAGTTTTATCTCTCTAAACCCTCCCCCTCCCAAAAGCCTAGGAAATAGTGGTCTATTGGTTGCGGCAAAGTCCGATCTGCCATTAGAAAACATTTCTTAGGTTTTTTCCTCAAAACCCGCCGAGCCGAGCCGAAGCTCTGTCCGAATTCCGCCGAAAAAATGGCCGATTGGTGGCAAGGAGAAGGAATTTTTGTTGATGAATTTCAAGCGGTACGTACTCATTATTCGGGTTTAATTTTTGTTGTTGTTATCTTGCTTTTTAATTAATCTATTTACTAACCTCGTTGTTATTTTCTCGTAGGCTGCGGAGGACGTCGATATTTACAACCAACGGTATTATCTCGAGCAAGGACCGTTGGATCCAACCGACTTGTACGACCAACCCAACCATCAGTCAAGGGATGTTTGGAACGCTCACCCGGTACATACAATTCTTTACCATTTGTCCTTCTTTTATTTTGTTAATG